TTCGTAATGCACGATAGCCGTATTTTGAATAATCTATCGGCGTACTTCCGTTTACACCAACCTTGTCAAGACGACGAAGAAGCGATCTGCATTTATATTTTGATTCGAAAATAGATCTGTAAATCGTTGTTGAAGATCATATTATAATTATTTAATTATTTTCCTGCAAAAATTTACAATTGTAAATGCATATCTCTAAAAGAACTATATATTTATCATTTCATCTAACAGAGTTTAATTTAAAAAAATAATCTTTCTCTTTACTTGAAATCGATCAAATTTTTATTATCATATTTTTAATTTAATAATCCTAATTTTAAAATATTTCTGTGTTAAAATAATAATTCTTCGAACATTCCAGTGAAATGTCTTTAAGCAAGAATTCAACTCTGATTCATCTCAAATAACAGCAGCATCGCGTGAGAATAAATGTAGCAAAATGCGAGAAAGAAATATATCCACTTCGCGGAATTTATCGTCAATTACGGTAAAAATACGATGATTGTAAATCATAAATTAGCGATCGATCAACGATATCAAGCGTGAGATATATCATTAAAACGAGATGGAGAAATTATGAAACGCATACACATTTTCCATGGGAATTTTGTCAGCGCAATTTAACAGTTACAAAAACTAATCACGCATATATAATCTATTCGGGGAAAATATACGGGATCAGAATAAAAAACGTCATATAAATGCGGTGACGTTATTTGCCGTTGCACAAATTATCATGCTTTATACATATGCACGCGCGCGAATAAATGAAATATCGCAATCATTTCTATAATTAAAGACCAGCCCGGCGTACAACCCAACGGAGGAATCTCCTCCATATTACGGTTTATAGATTATAATTGATCGCTATGTAAGGATCAAGATAAGAGCAGAACCGGGATCCAGTTAGAAAGTATGTTTGCGGTGCTATCGTAATTATGGCGATGCGAATGTTTCCTGGTAACACCGGAGAGACCGTTATTCGGCACACTGCGCAAGTGAGGATACATAAATTTGTCCACCGCCAGTCGATACCGCGTAGAAAATTGCAATTTTATGTAGTCTTTACGAAACGCGTAAAGTAACAGCGGTTTTTTCCCGCGCTTCGCGATTATCCAGAATTTATTTATCACGACCGTAAAATGATTCGTTGGTTGGTATACTCCTCTCAGAATACATTCAAGCTAAATTTATATATTGTAAAAAAAAATAAGACGAACGTTAAACTGTGTTTATTAAAGAGAGCGCAGATTTCTCTCTCGTGGGAATTAAGTATTCATTTTAATTACAGTTTCATATCCGATCGAATGGCGAAACCCAGTATCGAATTATATCCTTCGCGTTCCTTCACGCTCGGCTACAGCGAAAAGTCGCTGTTCAAACGCGCCTCTAAGAGTCATTGCTCGCTTTTTACACGCACCGTTTCGCGCCGCTCTTAACAGGATGCCCGAATACTTTCTAGCGCTGACCTACAGTCAGCAATTGGCATCCAACACCACCTCTGTGAATCTTGTTTTTTTTCATTGATTTTTTTATCCAACTCTGCGTAATTATGTTTTTTTTTCATTCTTGTATCTGCGTAAAAAAAGTACAAGTTTAATGTTAATTATAAATAGAATAATATTTGCACTTATGATGAGAGAGACCAATGATGATTCGCCATCATTAGCATTGTAAGTATAATTAATCACTTTCGTAAATTGTTCTTCAATTTGCATATTTTATGTATGTACAACAGCGTATATAATTATACAAAAAGATGGTAAAAAATATCGATTCCTTTCCTCTATTGAATTATTCATATAGTTGATGATATTTAAATTTCTCTGAATGGACATACGAAGGATACGCGATTCCAGCTTCCGTATAAACGATTCGTCCTTGCAAAAAATGTCATGTATCTTAATACACTGTAACGTTTTATAAAATATATTTTATGCATTTTTCTTCCAATCTGAGAGCCTTCCAGTGACACATATGAGCCGCAGGAAGTAAACAGATTTAACTTCGCCGATTATTATTGATTAAGACTATTTTCGAGAGCAACTCGAGGAGTATCGATTTTATTTCAAGCGATTTTGCATCGTAATTAACGCCAATGATGTTTTCTTCTCAAGGAGACTCCTCGCAGACGCACACGTACGTTCGTGTTCACATATACATGCATCGTTACGCATACAATCGTGACACGCGCGTCCGGATTCCCTGATAAAACCGTTAACGATGGAGATGAACTGTCGAGGGAGAAAAGTGGCGTTTTGCTCATCGCAGGAAGATTTCCTGTCGACGACGCGTTGTAATCGCAATCTCGTCGCGGTTTGTTCGGACGAATACTTCCTGCGGATCGCGAACATAACGGGTTCTCGGCATTCAGCACGAACGATCGACTTCTTCGCGTACCGAGAGAATCAACATCTGAGCAAGATTGCAGTTATCTTGTGCGAATTAGCTTCCATTGCTCGACGACAGACGCGAGAGTGTGATGCGAATCGCGTGACGCGAATCAAAAAAAATAAAGATTTATTAATCCAAGTATAAAAAGGGCTAGGAAGAAGCATAGATATTAGGAGAAAAAGTATTCTTAAATTCCTCTATACTTATTTTTATCCTCAGCATATCATTAATAAAATTATCCTTGTATAAATCAACATTCCCAGCCTATATTTTTGACGAATACTTGGCATCTAATATTATTAATTTTATTAATATTATTAATATTCTAATTTTAATATTCTAAAGTATACGAAAAATTAACATTGAAGATAAGTAAATTAATAAAAATAGACTTACAGCTAAATCGAGTAAGATATTATATTGTGACGTGGAGGCTTTCAGATGTTGATTGCTCGAGGTTACAATAACGAATGATTGGTACCATAAAAAAACGTTTTCTGGTAGATATCTGAACTTCCTGTCTCAACATCCTATGAGTCAAAAACGAGGTACGATAATGGGGTTAGTTGATCGAGCCTTCTTATTATCCTGTTGAGACAGGAAGTTCAGATATCTACCAAAACACGTTTTTTTTATGGTACCAATCATTCGTTATTGTAACCTCGAGCAATCAACATCTGAAAGCCTCCACGTCACAATATAATATCTTACTCGATTTAGCTGTAAGTATATTTTTATTAATTTACTTATCTTCAATCTTAATTTTTCGTATACTTATGATTTTATATATTAACAATGACTGTTATCGAAATTCGCAACCGATCTCCTAACAGAACAATTAGCGAGAGATCTGTTTCGCGACAATTACATATAATGACGTTTTGAGAAATAGAATATATACTAAAAATGCTCATGCGTTATAAATGCGTTGATCTCGTGTGTTAGAATATAACTTACGAATATAACGTACGAACGAATTTATTTCTGTCTATTATTTAATATATTATGTTACAAATCTTTTTACAAATAAATTTTTAGTATAGAACTTAATTAGCTCTTATTGTCTTTTTATTTGTAGATTAAAATTTTCTAAAGAGCTGTTACAAATTATATAATTAATATTATTAATATTATTGATATATTGATATTAATATTTTTAATCCCAGCTCTTTTTATATCTGAATTTGTATTTATACATCGGAATCTTTTTAATTTATTGTTAGAAAAATTTCATATTAGAAGAATTAATTTCTCCTTTCTGAAAAAAATTCTCTTTGCTATCCTACGTCTGTAGCCTCCGAATATATACCTTATAACGAAATCATCGTCTAAAGCGCGAGGTGTATTATTTATGCGATTAAGGAAGAGTTCTCGCGCGCGAGCTCCCACGACGCAATCGGAAGCGACGAACGTTGCCGAATTCGCGAGGAGGCCTAATTACCTCGTCGCTAATTGAACGAGCGAAGGCAACCACATGGCCGCTTGCTCCAATTCGCGGTAGATTGTTGTGCCTCGACAATGGTTGCATAAAAGCGACTGTATATAACGGCGTGAGTCGCGAAATATAATAAACTTTCGCGATCCGTCGCGCTATCTCCTTCTACCTATCTCTCTTTCAGTTTGCGAGATGCATAGGCGCAGCGCATGCAAGATCGCTTTTCAGCTCTTCCCACGAGTTCGCTCATCCGCGATGCGACCGCGTTACGTCACACGTCTACTTGCAATCGCTCGCGACTTGGATAACACGACTGCAATCATGCATACGAGATGTATATGCATTAGCCGTTATGCATCTATTAGCATCTTACGTGTTCTTTTAATCAGATTTGGATTTTATTTCAGAAGAATACATCCTGGATGATATGCATACATGCGATAAAATTGTTTTCTATTTTTTTGTTATTTTTATATTTTGTTTTAATGATTAAATTTATTTGATAATATGTATCTTGGATATATTTTTAGAACGACGCGCGGAAAAGTAGAATGTCATGTTCGAATGACCCTCATATCGGGGGCTGAAATAGCACGAGAAATATATAGATGCGGTTAATGGATATACAGGTGTGCAACGTAATGTCATCAATAATAATCTCGCGACACTCGGTTACGCGGCTACAACTGCCACAGGATTCAGCCGCAGAAACCGTAAGGAATTTTATGGGAATTCGACTCGGGGTGCTCAGAAATATCTTCCGCGTTCTTCCGCGATTACGGACGAACGCGAGAAAAAAATTGAAAATTAATGCAGATTGCGATTGTGCGTTGTGGGATAATCGTTTAATCTCGTCGTGATTACGCATCGCTAAATGCCACGATGATAAAAGCATCATCGACAAATAAATTTTCGAGAAAACTCTTCGAGAGAAATCTCGTGAGAAATGCACAATATCTACGATCGTGCGTTGGGATAATCGTTTAATTTCGTCGTGATTACGCATCGCTAAATGCCACGATGATATGGTAAAAGCATCATCGACAAATAAATTTTCGAGAAAACTCTTCGAGAGAAATCTCGTGAGAAATACACACAATATCGTTTAATTATTTATAATCGTGCGATTATAACGCCTATACTAACGTAGAGATTTTCTTGTCTGTTGCAGAAATATGCTGATAAGAGAATTGGCGGCCGTTTGGGTCGCCGTCCTCTTGTGCCATCTTCAGCTAACGGAGTCTCAGGTGAGCATACATTCAGTTTATATGTATATATATATGTATACCTCCTCGCATCGAAGTTTCAGCGACTTCGTAAGCATGTTGCGTTACTGTTAGAAGTCAACTGCGATTATTCATGGCTATAATCGGCGTTCATGATCCTCTCGCATGTATTAAACACGCGCCTCGCGTCTCCGTTGAATTATAAATTAACCGCCTGTCTATTTATCGTCCTCTTATATGAATCTTCTCAAGAACGTGATGGTTTGTTATTCTTTGCCTTATCGGAAAAGAGAGATTTGATAAAAATATCCCAACCAGTTTTAACTTAATCGCACCGATCGGACGAAGAAATTGAACGTCCGAGACGAGGAGTAATTTTCTTCGCGAATGAAAAGAAAGACTTGCACACGAAGTAAAAGGGAGAGAGAGAGTCAGGAGGAAAAACATCGCTAGGGCGAGGATATACTACGCGAGGATACAAACCCTTCGAGAGAGAGAGAAAGAGAGGTAGGGAGAAAAGGAGGTTTTAAACCGCGGGTTATGAAGTAATTGGTATGTCGGCGAGCTCTCCGTAGGAGTTACCGGAGCTCGTTTCCACGAGATGTGGCATATGTGAGGTGAAAGTGAATTTCATACTCAAGCGCGCCCGCGCGCCTTTAAGAGTTGCCGCTCAATCCCATACACATAGACATATACACGTAACTTCACACACACACATATATATATATACCTAGACACGTAAGTTACCACATTTTAACTACTAGAGAACGCGGTGGTCCAATACGTGAGAGGAGAGAGAATGCAACGAGAATGCGCGAGTCTCTGAGGCAGGCATTTCTGATGTCTTCACGCTTGTGAATGTTTCCTCGAGAAGCGAAATATTTGCTTGCGAAAGATCTGTTTAGCAATTATGGAAAATTAAGATTCCTATGGAGATACGTAGAGAAACGCCAAAAATTTAAATATTCCTCTGATGAAATGGATTTTAATCTCGTCTCTTTGCTCGCCAGGTACATCTCACGTATATTTGTTTAATGGACTTTTTGTTAGATTGAAATTGAATGAGTGCGGTCTTCATTGTTATTAAATCCGGTTGCGGACAGTAATATTAAAATTTCAAATAATATATCATGATATCGCAAATGAACGAATTTAATTCTTCTGTCAATGATAGATCGGATATAATATAACGGGAAAAATTATTCGATGAAATTATCATAATGCAATGTGTCAAAAAAAAAAAAAAAACACAGCTGGTACTCGGCTACTCATTAATGAAAAGGTGAAAAATGATGAATTGACAGAAGAGTAAATGGAACGCCACGTGTTCGGCACGTGTTACGGGGACTCATTACGGGCGGCTGAATTTTCGTATCGAGCTGCAGAATGCGAGAATGCAGCTACGAGGGCGCAGGCTACGTATGTACGCAGCCGGTGCACCTTTCTCAGGAATGTAGTCACCGTTATATCACTGATATACACACGCGCGTGCGAAGCGACGTCGAAATACCGACGACGAGAACGCGTCCGAGTCACTCTCTCGAAGTTGTCGGGTACTTTCCGCGCTCTTGGGAGACAGACGAGGAGATCGACGACGGATTGCGTCTTCACTTTCTCCACGCCGGATAACAATGCGGTCTAACGCTGTCTGAATTTAGCCCGCGCCATTACACGCAGGTCGTAAACGCCGAAAAGTATGAAGCTTTCAGACGTGAAGCAATCGCGAACAATTTTAAAGACATGGTCGCGATATAGGTTCGAAACGTGAAATCGTCACCCAGTTCACACAATTTGGATATTCTCGTAATCTTTTAAACGTAACAGAAACTTGCCTGACAGGATATTGGCTGATGTAATATTTAAAAGATTGCCGTTCAGCAATTTTGTGATGTTTCAATTTTCTTCATACATTTTTATGAAGTATTATATAATATATAGTAATGAAATTTTTCTATTAACCAGAAAATTAGAGAAGCTCCTTTTTTAGTCTATTTATTATAAAAATTTAATGCGCTTAATATTATTAGATTGTAAAATGCAGCTATCTATTATTTACTATTCTACGATTCAGGTGTGTTGACTATCAGCGTTAACTAAACGTTCTCTTCGTTTCTGTTGCAGGTTCCTAGTGCAAATGTCTTCACCTGTCCAAACGGTGAGTAATAAAATAATATTTGCTGGTTACCTTCAAAAGGTTGCATTCAGGTACCTATTCAGACAGGTTTAGAGATGATAATACTTTACGACGATTTAAGCCGTCGTGAAAGATCCCTATAGGACTCATGAAGCAAACAATTCTTCAAGCTTCGAAACGTGACAAAAGTCATCAATATGTATTGCGCTTAGAATCCCGCGAATCGACGACAATGACGTGAAAGTTGCTCGGTGATTATATTTTTTCCAAACGATACATACGCACTCGAGTTAATCCCCCGTCGAGAAATCGCCATCGTCGCGGCTAGTTTGAAGATTAGGCGACTCTTACTTTCACGACCGACCTCCGATGAGTGTATATTAGAGCTCTCGCCGGATTACGAGAGAACAAACGCGGCGCGTAATAAAATCCGTGCAGCGATTTTCGAGATTATTGCGCTGTAAGACCCTATTACGGCTAATGACGTGCAGTTTCGGTTAACTGCGGGAAAGATAAATCACGCGACTGTCGAAGAAAGTAGCACTCGTACAACATCGCCGAGTCTCTCCCTCGAGGGAACCAAACGAAGGCTTCTATCGGAATAAAAGAGGAACTTTCGGCTGAATTTTCCCAGAATAATTAATATATCGAGTAATAATAATTTGCGTGAGAAAGGTTTCTCTCTCAAATATTTTCAATCTGCGGGACCGAGTTCTCTCGGAGTCTCCCGTGTATATATATATATATGAAAAAAATTGCTTTCGCGCAATCAGTGGATACAGTTGCAAATGAGGGAAACCAGGAATGCCTCCTTTTTACCAGGTCACGTCGCTACGTACATTTAAATCGCACGGAGATGCTTTGAATCGCAAATTCGAATTCTGACAATTAAGCGCCGCACGAAAGAGACTCAAAAACGAGGCACGCACGTGTCCGATAAATAAATCTCGTGAGAGACAATGAGGATAAGAGTTCGGCCATTCGTAACGCCACTGCTCCACTTTTCCTCGCTACTTGCCGATGCAATTAAGTAGGTTGCACGTACCATATGGGACTGGCCGGTCGTTAGCCATAAGTCGCGTGCGTTGGAACAATTGCAAGTGCTATATTTTCTTCCGCGGAAGTGTGTTTTCTATTTTTCTCGCGTTCTTCCCTCGATTAATTTACGCTTCTTACGCTTTGATCGTGTCTCTGTAGCAGCTGCGCATCGAGATGGAAACGCGAATAAATGAGAACAATTATTCAGAATGAATATCATATTGAATGACAGCTGAGATTAATAAATATGAAGATTATAAAATCAAGTAATCCGCTTATTTTATTATGTCGAATGTGCTACATCGTTGAGAGATTAAAAGCAAAATTTTAATTTTTTTTATAAAGTCTTGCAGATCGATCTACATGTTGCACAATCAATATGTTAATATAATATGTTACGTTACGCCCGATAATCGAAACGAAAACTATTTTGCGACAGACATAAACTTTTTCATTTGCATAAATACTTCTCTATTAACATATTAAGTGCTAATAGAAATATCCGTAGTTGCGATACATACATATATACGCTGTCACTAGAATCATACATAAAACATTTTTAACATTCCACGCATTATTACGGACTTTCAAATATATCACATTTCAAGGTACGAGGATTTGAAGCTTAAGTAAGATTACGTTTAAAAGTATGTATTTTCGAATCGCTGCTATTCGGCCAGCTTTTCGAATCGAACCAGTTTTACAGGGATCTAACAGGTTTCGGGTGTAATATGATTGGGCCGAAAACCTCGAGCCGGTATATAATAATAAAACGTTTTGATGACGGGGGTTCAGGTAGAGGCGTAGTGTAGAAACACAGGACGAGACGGCATTCCTAAACCATGAATCCTCGTCTTCCCTCATCTTCTCTCCTCGCCTCGTAGTCCTCGTCCTCGTCGACGTAGTCGTCATCAGCATCATCGTCGTGGCCTCTAAAAATACACGGCTTGCACTCGTTCGCGCCACGGTTATCTACCTTCCACTCGGAGGGAACTCGACCGAGAGTACAACATCGTCGAACGGGATTCCAAAAAGTAGAACATCCGGCAACACGCTCGCTCATCTGCTCCTTTACGCGATCATCCGTCGGTGGTTCGTATTCCCGGTGGTTTTTGCCGGAAGAAGAACGCGACAGAGAAAAAAAGGAAGGCGCAGAGACAGGTCTCTTTCCGCGTACTATTGCGTGCCAGCGAACAATCTAAAGGATTATATCATCCTTCCGCTATTCGGCTAACGAGATCGAGACGATATTTCGATTTTCGCGTCAGTCTCTACCTCGTTACGTATCGTAATTTCGGATTTTCTAGATTCCAAGCTCGATTTCTGCCATTTTTCCCGACACCTCCCACGATTTTTATCGATATTTTATAATAGATATATCGCGTTTTATCCCCCTTTTTGCTCTTTCTCTTTTTCCTCCATTTTTGGAGATTAATTACAGCGAGCTGTTGTGTCGACGATATTTCGTTGGTTGAAATATCACGCGTCTGTCCGCGGAGGGAAAATAATATTTCACATACGAGAAATGTTAATGGACGCCGAGAGAATCGTGTGCGTAGCGCGAGCATGGCCGTTTGACCTTTTGAAAGAAAGGAAGGTCGTCACATCGAGTCTTTCCCAGCGCCAACTGCATCAGCTACATGACTGAGTAATGTCGCGTCTCTTCGCGTTTCTCTTCAACGCAGTTTACGTGTTTCAATGAAATCCCGGACGTTTTCAATTGGGTTGCGCGCGACATTTTCCAACTCGTAATGTGTAAGAAGAATCAAATATAGTGTACGTAAAATTAATTTTTCGTCTGTAAAAGTGTAAAAGGACTTTATTAACTCAATAATAACTTATTAATTATTACGAGGCCATGTGAAACGAGCAATAAAAAATAATTATAAAACTTGGACAAATTTTAATTAAAAAAAACCAATTACAAACGTTTCGAACTATACTTAGTCTTCTTCAGTGCGCAATAAAACAATAATAATAAATAAAAATTCTAATAAAAAGTCGCAATACAAAATAAATTTGATAATTAATTTAATAATGTCAATTTATTGTTAATGTATTTCGCCTTTTAATTTTGACTTAATTATCTAATTTATTTTGACTTTGTATTGCGACTTTTTATTAGAATTTTTATTTATTTTTTTATTTATTATTATTGTTTTATTGCGCATTGAAGAAGACTAAGTATAGTTCGAAACGTTTGTAATTGGTTTTTTTAAATTAAAATTTTTCCAAGTTTTATAATAATTTTTTATTGCTCGTTTCACATGGCCTCGTAATATTTAATAAGTTATTATTGTGTTTGTTTACATACGAGCTTAAGCACTTTATTAACTGTCTAAAAATTAGCCATAACAAATGAATTAGAAAATATTCAACATTAGAAAATATTTTATAGAATAACATGTTGTTTACCATTTAATATGTTTATGCATTTAACTTCAAAATTCATCTTTGAAATTATAGAAAACAGCTATAGAGAGCTATATATAAAAATATAAATTTTGCTTTATTATTTTGCAAACGTTACTGAAGAATGCTGTTGCATTTTCTATTGTTATTTCTTTTAGATAGATGAAATATTATATGCTCTGAGAATTGAAACTTTAACACCTTTTACCATTGAATTTACATATTCTGTCGATCAAAAGAGATTCTGCGAATCGCAATATCGTCTGTTATAAAACAAGATTCTTGCTGCAGCGAGGTGGTTCACTTTGATCGAACCACTGACACGAATCGATTTCACGGAAACTCGAGAGCAATCCCAGACGTTGAACTGTACGCTGTAAAATAAAAGCTTGCCCGAAGCAATTCAGATAAAAACTTTTTTATATATACGCGAAACATTTCCTCTCTCATTAATCAAATAGGAAAAATTTATTCCGATGCAATTTCTCAGTTGGATGAACAAGGTCGCTAAATTATGCTGCGGTTCTAATTAACTTTTAAAGATACGTAAAAATAAATTACTCGATTCATTGAAATGTAGAATTGTGTAAATTACGATGAACCGGATTGAAAAAACCGATAAAATGATCAACAATTAAAATTTGATGGAAATATTAAAGTAATCGAGCGAATCATATGTAGGTGAAGCTAAGCAACCAGTCAAACTCGTCGCAGGAGTTTCACTATTTTACAAGGTTACTCTTGACTCGACTGTCAACCCCCTAAGGCACACAACGTGTGCACTAAAAACGAACGAGGCCGTTGTGTCCGTCACTGTCAGCGCGGGTCACCGATTAACCGCCTTTCCTGTCTTCTGTGTTCTCTCGCTGACATAAAATGGGCAAAGTATCCGGTTGCTCGGGAAACCTTGGGATAAGACTAACTTACCGGAAGTTTCCAAGTTCTAACAGAAATCTCGCGAGTGCGCGATAAATTGAAGTATATATGGAAAAACTTACATCACGAAGCTTTTACATCAATTACAACATTTAATCGGTTAGGTAGTAATGTAAATAAAACATAATGCGCACGAATCCTCTTGAATCTTAAAATGTGAAGGTTGCGTGCTTATTACAATAACGTTATTACAGCGCTTATTTGCGCTCGAACTCTATTTAAACAGACAATTTAATGCCACGTTTCTCCTTGCGCAGGATGGGAACTGCGAGGCATACACTGTTATAAATTCTTCAACATCAGGCATTCCTGGGAAAAAGCGGCGGAATTATGCAGGAGGTAAGCCACGCACTCTATCGATCCGTCCCTTTCATTAATTCTGCTATCTAAAATTTGACCGATGTCTCTCTCATTGATAGAATTGTAAAGAATAACAGAGGGGTTTGTTTTAATCGTTTGAAATAAAAGATAATTTTTTGGACGGTCCATTGCAGATACGGAAGCGAGCTGATGGTGGTGGAGTCGTACAGCGAGAACAACATGTCGACGAGCATGATAGGCCGGCATTTGGATCATTACTGGCTGGGTCTAGCTTCGCTCGACGATTTACGAACCAACACACTCGAATCGGCCGCGGGAATGCTCGTTTCTCAATACGCCGGTTCGTATGCGGTTCCGTTTTATTCGATGTTTCAGACGAGCGGATTCTGCGCGAATGGATATATCCCGTAATCGAACGCACATCCTCCAGTTACTCTTCCATCTTTTATTTTATATAGCTCTCCTTCTCTCCCTCTCTCTCTCCCAGAATGTGCAACCATCTCTCTGCCATTAACGATCGACTGCTCTTAAGAGACCTTGACCGATATTCCGCTCAATGCGGTGCGGTTTGCGAGTGCTACTCTCCAAGTTATAAGAGAATAAAAATTCTGGAGCGAGATAAATGCTTGACATTCTTCACGTCTTTCAAGCCCATTTCACATCAATCGAAGGAATACAATTTTATTATGTTCATTTCTTTTTTCGAAAACTTCCTCAGTTCTGCGAAACCTTCTCTTATTTTCAATCACTTGAAATTAAATACCTCGAACATTCGTTACTACAAATTATTATTATTCAATGAAGAAAAATTTATTTATAAAATCGATTAAAAAATCCATTCTATGATATCTCTTATAATATATATTTTTCTTTCAACCCTTTATTTCTAAAATAATGTAATTTCTTGAAAACTGAGATAATTATTACACGCAAAGAAATTAGAAAAATTAATTATTTAAATAATGAATATTGAAAGAAATGTTATGTAAGAAATAATAACAGAAATTTATTATTTTAGTAAGAGTTTTTGAACACATTACGAACGTATTACGAAATTAAGTGGCTGATGCGAACGTTTCACTCAAAACTCGGTTCTCGCACACACGCAGGGCCAGTTTCTATCAGGGTCACGGAAACACGGAACTCGCAACGCGGCACGAAGACACACTTTTCCCACAACAATGCCCCAGACGGTTGTTGCTTTGTGTCCGTTTGCCATACACAGACTACAATTTCCCCTTCTTAAGCATTTACACACCACTAAACCGCACTATTAATTATGCGTTGTGCGCTCATAGCAACAGATAATTACCAACTAACGTAACAAATATAAATGACTTCATATGCACAATCTTATTTCATTACTTACAATATTACTTCATATACAGTCCCTTACCGGAAATATGTATCATTTGAGACATATTTGCATTCTCTTAACACTCTATTATTATAATCATTCAATTAATTATACATACAGATACAGTTTGATTATAAAAGAAAAAGCAAAGTGTTTCAGAATATTTTTAATTATTAAACTATTTTTTATACATTTTTTATTATTTTACAGTAGGATTTAAAAATAAAATTTTAAATTGAGATTTATTTAATTTGTGGATATCGGTACCAAAGGAAATTTATTTCCTGTGCATTAATTTAAATAAAAAATTACTTTTCCTTGAAAAACTAACGCATTAACATCCCCGTCTGACTTTTTGAACTAACCCGTTGAAATTTACATATGTAAAATATTTTTCAATATTCAGAGAAGAAGAGAAAAATTGTATTTCAACGAAAAAGTTGCGTTTTTACATAAAAAAAATAACGTAGGTTTCTGGGCGTCGAAACAACCGAATCCGCACTCGGGCGAATGCGTAGACGCCGCTTTGACAGATGACCGGCAAACGTGGGAATTGACCACGTGCGAGTCTCTTCTTCCTTTCATGTGTCGTGCCAACGCCTGTCCTTCCGGTAAGTTCTACTACCTTCACGCAACTTGGCTACCCGTATATTTCATAGAACAGAACGAATAATCCCGTGACGAATATAATGCATCCGCAGGTTCGTTTCACTGCTCGAACGGCAAGTGCATCAACGCGGCGTTCAAATGCGACAAGCAGGACGACTGCGGCGACTATTCCGACGAGCTGGACTGTCCGGCTAATTGCCAGTATTATATGGCGAGCAGCGGCGACGTCGTGGAGAGTCCGAATTACCCGCATAAATATGCACCCCTCAGCAATTGCAAGTGGACGCTCGAAGGCCCTCAAGGACACAATATTCTCTTGCAGGTGAGTCTTTTTCGCTCGACGAATCTCTCTCTCGATAAAAATCATGACGTTTAATCTCTGTCTCAAAATCTCGGAATTTAAAGGACGAAATTGAACGAGCTTTTAATTCGTGGTTTCAAACAATTTAAGAAAGGAAAATAGGTAGACCTTCAGAGCGAAGCGAAGATTTTAGATCGCAAGAGTTTTTTATTACTAATACGTTTATCGCGAACGTTTCGATCCACTTTTTGGACCATCCTCAGCGCGAAAAATTGACAAAAATAAACCAATTTAGATCATGTCGACAAAAAGTATATAGAATTATGAAAAACAAGTCAACATTGTGATAACAGTATGAAGTTATAAAATAAAAAATTTTTCAGAATATATTAAAAATAAAAGTAGAGATAAAAAGTAAAAAAAATTCCCGCTCTCAGAATATTCCGCCGTGTATAGTGACACTATTTGCTCTGAAGACCTATTTGTTTTCCTTTCTTAAATTTTTCAAAATAAGAGCAATCTCTCAACCATTTGATTTTTAATTTTTGTGTTAATTTTTCAGTTCCAAGAATTCGAGACCGAGAAGAGCTTCGACATAGTGCAGATCCTCGTAGGCGGTAGAACCGAGGAAAAGTCCGTGAATCTCGCGACCCTTTCCGGCAAGCAAGAGCTCAGCAACAAGCACTTCGTCTCGGCCTCGAACTTCATGATCATCAAGTTCAGCACCGACGCTTCGGTAGAGAGGAAGGGCTTCCGCGCTTCCTGGAAAACCGAGCCGCAGACCTGCGGCGGAATTCTTAGGGCGACTCCGCAAGGACAGGTGCTCACGTCTCCGGGATACCCGCAGAATTATCCCGGAGGACTCGAGTGCCTGTATATCCTGCAGGCTCAGCCGGGACGCATAATGTCCGTGGAGGTGAGCCAAAAACTTCTACATATCCGCTTTATTTTGTATTTTAGTTCATAATTTTATATAATCTTGTTTAATTCTTCATTAAAAAAAATTGATTGAATTCGAATAAATATTTATTTAAACACTGCCTCAAATCATTTATTTGAAATGTAATAATATTGATTTGATGTGCAAAAATATTTATTTGATACGAGATAATTCTTCTCAAAACAGATAAATATTTATTTGTTTCAAGTAAATGATTTATTTGGCAGTATTGAAATAAATATTTATCAATTTAATAATTCTTTTTTCAATCTTCTGTTAATGTACAATTTTTTACCTTTCCATCAATATATGTATACGGATACAGAGCAAACAAATTTTTTTTTAATTGGGGAAAAAGAATATAAAATATTGATAAAAAAATACGAATGCATTCGACGCTTTCCCTCGTTTCTAGATCGAGGATTTGGATCTCGAGACGAATCGAGATTACATTCTGGTCAGGGATGGAGATTCGCCTATGAGCCGACCGATCGCGCGGCTGACGGGAAAATCGGACGAGAATCCGGCAGTGATCATGTCCACCGGAAGCAATTTGTACCTGTACTTCAAGACGAGTCTCGGCGATTCCAGGCGTGGCTTCAGCGTTCGCTTCACGCAAGGCTGCAAGGCCACGATCATCGCGAGAAACGGCACGGTTCAGTCGCCTTCTTACGGCCTCAACGATTATCCGAATAATCAGGAATGTCTGTACAGAATCAGAAATCCGGACAGAGGGCCGCTGTCTCTGAAATTCCTCAGCTTCAACGTTCACAAGACTGACTATGTGCAGGTGAGAAAGAAAAAGATTATTATCACGTTATATAAATGAATAAAGTTTTCGTATCATTCGCGCGGAATCGCTAACTTTCATTTTCTCTCACCGAACCAATCAGATATATGACGGTTCCAACACGAACGGTCTGCGCTTACATCCCGGAAGCGGTTTCACCTCTAACACTCGACCCAAGATCACACTCACTGCGGAAAGCGGAGAAATGCTCGTCAGATTCGCCTCCGATGCCTTGCACAGCAGCACCGGGTGGCAAGCTGAATTTTCTGCCGGTAAATTATATTATTAAATTATTTTTGTACAATTTATTATTGCAACAATCTTTTTAATATGTAATTATATTATTAATTACTTATTAATATATATGTATAATAAGATATCTATATATGAATAATATTTTTATTGACGCATAATGCAACATGATTGTGTCAATAATATAAGAAATAAAAGATATAAACAATTTTAAAAATAAAACAAAATATTTTATAGACTGTCCGCCATTGCAACCCGGCGAGGGAGCTTTAGCGTCGAGTCGAGACACAGCTTTCGGCACGATAGTTACATTCTCCTGCCCGCTAGGACAAGAATTCGCGACAGGAAAGTCGAGGATCTCCACGGAGTGTCTGCCCGGAGGAAACTGGTCTGTCACATACATTCCTAAATGTCAGGAAGTGTACTGCGGTCCCGTACCTCAAATAGACAACGGGTTCTCGATCGGCTCCTCAAACGTCACTTATCGCGGATTGGCGACTTATCAATGTTATGCAGGATTCGCGTTTCCTTCCGGAAGACCAACGGAAAAGATTTCATGCCTGGCGGACGGAAGATGGGAAAAGAAGCCGTCGTGTTTAGGTAAATTATTTTAATTGCGTAATCGATGTAAAATAATTATATTAAATTAGAATTTGAAATAAAATTTAATAAAAAAATATTTTTGCGTATTTCTCTTCCAGCATCTCAATGCGCTCCGCTGCCGGAGGCTCCTCATTCTAACATAACTATCTTGAACGGAGGTGGTCGAAGTTACGGCACAATTGTTAGATTCGAATGTGAACCTGGTTACGTACGAAGCGGACATCCTGTCATTCTTTGCATGAGCAACGGAACCTGGTCCGACGAAGTGCCAATGTGTTCTCGTAAGTAGTAACGTGCTAATAGACCTTAATCAATTTAGCATTGATGTGAAATTAGACTGATCGGGATGATATTTATTTTTGACAGGTGCCAGATGCCCGCTGCTGCCGACAATTAAAAACGGATTTGTCGTCGATACCAGCAGAAATTACTTCTTCGGCGACGAAGCCAGGGTGCAATGCAACAAAGGCTACAAACTGACCGGATCAAATATCATACAATGCGGACCCTATCAACGATTCGACAACGTACCGACTTGCGAAGGTAGATATTTCATAATATTAATAAAATTATATTCGTTACATTGAGACGAGTGTATTTATAGACATAAACGAATGCGCATCGAGCCAGTGCGACCTGGCGTCCACGGAGTGCATAAACAATCCAGGTGCATTCACCTGCAAGTGCAAGCAGGGCTTTGCACCAACCATGGAATGTCGACCTATCGGCGATCTCGGACTCATCAACGGCGGCATCCCCGATGAATCGATCACGGTTTCGAGTTCGGAAAATGGATACACGAAAACCGTAAGAATAAGCTGATTTTTTCAATCAATCATTTTTCTCTTCTTCTCTTTCTGTGCAATATATATTGTATTTATACAGTACCCTCCATAAGTTTGAAAACACCTTACATTTTACAATTAAACGATCGTATGGCAGCGATCTGTATAGATTTTTTGTATTAATAAATCGTCAAATATTTAAATGACATTTTTATTTATGACAGATCGCTGCCATGCGATTGTTTAACGGTAAAATGTAAAGTGTTTCCAAACTTGTGAAGAGTACTGTATGCAATAAATAACAAATGTCCATTTATAAGACTGTTTTTTATTATCACGATTAATAATATTTCAAATGATATACTGATAAAAAACATCCTATTAAGTTTATTACGAATATCTAATTGAAGAATATTTCTTTAGAGAATTTTTCTCTTAAATTAAGAGGATCCTTTTGACAGATCTGTGCAGATTTGTATAAATAAATCATAAAATAAATGTAAAATATTCAAATGACATTTTTATTTATAACGAATCGCTGCCATGCAATTCTTCAACTCTCCGCAGGGAATTCGCTTGAACAACGGCGATGGCTGGTGCGGCAACAACATCGAGCCTGGCGCGAACTGGGTGACAATCGACATGAAGGCGCCGACGATCATTCGCGGTTTCCGCACACAAGTTGTGGCCAGGTTGGACGGGAACATCGCGTACACGTCAGCCGTGCGAATCCAGTACACGAACGATCTGACGGACATCTTCAAGGACTACACGAATCCGGACGGCACGCCGGTGGAGTTTAGGATTTTAGAGGCAACTCTCTCCGTTCTGAACCTGCCGGTCCCGATCGAGACGCGTTACATAAAATTCAAGATACAGGATTACATCGGCGCGCCGTGCATGAAGCTGGAGATAATGGGCTGCACAAGGCTGGAGTGCGCCGACATCAACGAGTGCGCCGTCAGGAACGGCGGCTGTCAACAGAAGTGCATCAACAGCCCCGGCAGTTACTCCTGCATGTGCAACACCGGCTTTGAGTTGTACAAGAGCAACGGCACGGCTGGATACAATCTTGCGAAATCGGAAACCGGCGAGAGAAACGGCGATATCTATCAGAGAAATAAGACGTGCGTGCCGATGATGTGTCCCTCGTTAACGTCACCGGAAAATGGAAAATTACTCTCGACCAGGGTATGGTTATTAAATCCTATGCGAAAGTCATGCGATTGTTTGAATACATTTTTTTTTGCCATGAAAATAATTATCGTGAAATAATATCCATTATGACAGAACTCCGAAATTGATTTTGAGAGTCATTTTATTTTTCTGCAGGAGCAGCATCACTTTGGTGATATCGTCAGATTCCAGTGCAATTTTGGTTACGTATTATCCGGACCTTCGGCTGTAATTTGTACTTCTTCCGGTCTCTGGAACGGAACTATTCCCGAATGCCAATGTAAGTATCTAATATATAAAATGTGAAAATTGTCGTACATAAATTTCCATTGTATCTAGTATTATCTAATAATACGTAAATTTAATTTATATATATAATTGATTACAAAAATAGATTATATTGTATAAAATTTCTATAATAATTCAGGCGCACTCTTTGAATTTGACAGATGCAAAATGCGTGTCACTACCGGACGACAAAAATGAGGGTCTCTCCGTGATCCGAAGCGACGAGGCCAGCGTGCTGGTACCTTTCAGGCAGAACGTCACTCTCAAGTGCGGAAGTAACGGCCGCTACTTGCGCAACACCGCGACTTCCACTTTCCGGCAGTGCGCGTACGATCCCAAGCCCGGCTTACCTGATTACTGGTTGTCAGGTTTGCAACCGGCTTGTCCTCGCGTGGACTGCGGCAAGCCTCTTCCTACGCCTGGCGCCGAATACGGCCAGTACCTCGACTCCAAGTACCAGTCGTCCTTCTTTTTCGGCTGTCAGGACACCTTCAAGCTGGCCGGCCAGACCAATCGCAACGACAACGTGGTGCGTTGCCAGGCGAACGGCGTCTGGGACTTTGGAAATCTGCGATGCGAGGGTCCGGTTTGCGAGGATCCAGGTAGACCGAGCGACGGTTTCCAAGTAGCTCGAAGCTACGAGCAAGGCTCGGAAGTGCAATTCGGCTGCGACAGACCCGGCTACATCCTCATCAATCCGCGTCCGATCGCTTGCATCCGCGAGCCCGAATGCAAAGTCGTGAAACCGCTCGGCCTCACTTCCGGACGAATCCCGGACTCGGCGATAAACGCTACTTCCGAACGACCCAACTACGAAGCCAAAAACGTCCGGTTAAATTCCGTGACAGGCTGGTGCGGCAAGCAAGAGGCCTTTACTTATGTCAGCGTCGACCTCGGTCACGTCTACCGAGTCAAGGCGATCCTGGTGAAGGGCGTCATCACCAACGACATCGTCGGCAGACCTACGGAAATTCGATTTTTCTACAAGCAATCGGAGAGCGAGAACTACGTCGTTTATTTCCCGAACTTCAATCTGACCATGCGTGATCCAGGAAATTACGGCGAGCTGGCGATGATCACTCTGCCGAAATACGTGCAGGCGCGCTTCGTCATCCTCGGTATCGTTAGCTACATGGACAACGCCTGTCTGAAGTTTGAATTGATGGGATGCGAGGAACCGATGATCGAGCCGCTGTTAGGTTACGATTACGGATTTTCGCCCTGCGTGGACAACGAGCCTCCCGTATTCCAGAACTGTCCGCAGCAACCTATAGTCGTGCAGAAGGGAGCCGACGGCGAATTACTTCCGGTGAATTTCACTGTTCCGACAGCCATCGACAACAGCGGAAGCATCGCTCGTCTGGAAGTGAAGCCGCAGAGCTTCAGAACGCCTATTCGGATCTTCGAGGACACGGTCGTGAAATACGTGGCCTTCGATTACGACGGCAACGTCGCCATCTGCGAAATTAACATTACCGTGCCGGGTTAGTTATTCAATTAATTCATTTTTTAGTATTTTTTTTAATTAGTTTAATATTTTTACTATTATCCTTAATATTTATAAAAATATTAATGTACTAAAATTAGTGAAAATTTTAATATTAATATTAAATAAAATTAATATTAATATACTCTAATGTTGGTGAAAATTTTACTATTAATATTAATAAAAATATTAATATTAATATACTAATGTTGATGAAAATTTTACTATTAATATTAATAAAAATATTAATATTAAATAAAATTGTTAATAATATCGATTGTTGTATATCACAGATATAACTCCACCGAGATTGAGCTGCCCCCAGAGCTACGTTATCGAATTGATCGATCGGCAAGAAAGTTATTCCATCAATTTCAACGAAACACGAAGACGTATCAATGCCACGGACGTTTCCGGACCCGTGAAAATTACTTTTGTGCCGGAACGCGCGGTGATTCGAGTCGGTAGTTTTGAGAATGTTACAGTCTATGCAACGGACTCGAGCGGCAACCGAGCGACTTGTCACTTCCAAGTTTCGGTCCAGGCGACGCCCTGCGTCGATTGGGAACTAAAACCACCGGCTAACGGTGGCCTAAAATGTGTCCCTGGGGATAAGGGACTGCAATGTATAGCAACCTGCAAATCCGGATACAGATTCACGGACGGTTCACCAGTAAAGACATTCGGATGTGACGTCAACAAACGGTGGTCACCTTCATCGGTGGTGCCCGATTGCGTTTCTGAAAGTCAGTTTTTGTCTTAGCTTGAAGTTTCTTTAAACTGCATTTTTTAAACAATTTATTAATCTTAATATTTGCATTCGCAGACACGCAACAAGCTGATTATCATGTAATCGCCTCGGTGACTTATCGCGCGAATGGGGCTGTTTCTCGATCTTGTTTGTCGATGTATCAAGATCTCATGGCTCAATATTATACGAGTATCAATGGTATTTTGACTCAACGTTGCTCCGCTCTCAGTGTGAACATGAACGTGTCTTTCATCAGATCGATGCCTTCCTTGCTCGAAGAAAACGTTCTCAAGGTAAAACAAAATTTTATAAAATCTTAATTACTTATTACTTAATCATATTTTATTTAATCATTACTAAATTTAATTGTAATATTGTGATGACAATTATTTGGCAATAATACAATAATTTCGACAAATTTCAGATGGACTTTGTCTTGGGAATCGTACCGGCAGTACGTCAAACGCAATTATACGATCATTGCGGCGCCACATTGAGCCTGATCTTCGATTTATCGGTCCCGTATGCTAGTGCGGTTATCGAACCTCTGTTAAACGTTTCATCGATCGGCAATCAATGTCCGCCTCTTCGTGCTCTCAAATCACATAGCAGCAGAGGCTTCACGTGCAGCGTCGGTGAAGTCTTAAACATGGATACCGAAGATGTTCCTCGTTGTCGTAAGTAAACCATTCAAATCTCAATCTCCTACTTCAAGTATCTTTAAAAAAATGTAATAAAAAAAACTTTCTAATTTCCAGTGCACTGTCCGGCCGGAACATTCGCCGGGGAGAAGCAGAAGCTGTGCACAGCCTGTCCGAAGGGCTTCTATCAGAACAGCGACCGTCAAGGTTCTTGCTTGCGCTGTCCCTTCGGCACATACACGAAGGAGGAAGGTTCGAAGAGCATAGACGATTGTATCCCGGTCTGCGGTTACGGCACATACTCGCCTACCGGTCTAGTACCTTGCCTGGAGTGTCCCAGGAACAGCTACACCGGCGAACCACCGATTGGCGGCTACAAGGACTGCCAGACCTGTCCGGCTGGCACGTTTACGTATCAACCAGCCGCGCCTGGTCGAGATCGTTGCCGTGCCAAGTGTTCTCCAGGCATGTACTCGGACACGGGACTCGCTCCGTGCGCTCAGTGTCCCAAGAACTTCTTCCAGCCTCAGCATGGCGCGACTACCTGCGTAGAATGTCCCACGAACATGTACACGGACGGATCCGGCTCCGTAGGCCGCGAGGAATGCAAGCCTGTTCAGTGCACCGAGAATGTTTGCCAACACGGCGGTCTCTGCGTGCCAATGGGACACGGGGTGCACTGTTACTGCCCGGCAGGCTTCTCCGGGAGACGCTGCGAAGTCGACATCGACGAGTGCGCGTCTCAACCATGTTACAATGGTGCCACTTGCATCGATATGCCGCAAGGCTACAGATGTCAATGCGCGAACGGTTATTCCGGTGTGAATTGTCAGGACGAAAAGTCGGACTGTAACAACAACACGTGTCCGGAAAGAGCCATGTGCAAGGACGAACCTGGATTTAACAATTATACTTGCCTCTGTCGGTCTGGATACACCGGAGTCGATTGCGACATCACTGTAAGCGTCTCTTCAGGCTTCTCTTTTATTACAAAATCTATTTGAAAAAATTAAATTTCTATTTACAAATTATATTTATCATTTAAGCTTGTATTTTATACTTTCTCTTCAGATAAATCCGTGCACAGCCAGCGGAAATCCTTGCAACAACGGCGCGACGTGCGTGGCTCTTCAACAAGGACGCTACAAGTGCGACTGCTTGCCAGGATGGGAGGGTCAGAGCTGCGAGATCAACACCGACGATTGCGCCGAGAGACCTTGCCTGCTTGGCGCCAACTGCACTGATTTGATCGACGACTTCGCCTGCGACTGCCCGCCCGGATTCACCGGCAAACGCTGCCACGAAAAGATCGACCTGTGCTCGGGCAATCCTTGCTTGAACGGGATCTGCGTGGACAAGCTCTTCAGCCACGAGTGCATTTGCCATACGGGCTGGACCGGCGCAGCTTGCGAGACCAACATCAACGAGTGCGCCTCGAGACCCTGCAAGAATAACGGCCAGTGCATCGACCAGATCGGCGATTATACCTGCACCTGCGAGCCTGGTTACACCGGCAAGAACTGCCAGCACACGATCGATGACTGTGCGTCTGATCCTTGCCAGAACGGTGCCACTTGCTTGGACCAACTGGAGGGATTCGTCTGCAAATGCCGACCCGGCTACGTCGGCCTGCAATGCGAGGCGGATATCGATGAATGTCTTAGCGATCCTTGCAGTCCAGTCGGTACCGATCGCTGCGTGGACCTCGACAATACATTTGTCTGTCATTGCCGTGAGGGTTATACTGGTGCCTCGTGCGAGATCGATATCAATGACTGCGAGTCCGATCCGTGTCTGAACGACGCGATGTGTATAGACGAGGTTGGAGGCTTCAAGTGCGTTTGCCCGGAGGGATGGACCGGGACTCACTGCGAGACGGACGTCGGCATGTGTCAGAATCGACCCTGTCAGAACGATGCCACGTGCGTGGACTTGTTCATAGATTACTTCTGCGTGTAAGTATATAAATCTCTCTGAGAGTGTTTTTTTTTATTATCCGATAAAATGACCGATTTATTTCGAATTTTAAAATGACAGCTGCCCATCCGGCACCGATGGCAAGCAATGCGAAACGGCACCGGAACGTTGCATCGGAAATCCGTGCATGCATCACGGTCGTTGTCAAGACTTTGGTTCAGGCTTGAATTGTACCTGCCCCGACGATTACACTGGCATCGGTTGTCAATATGAATACGATGCCTGTCAAGCTGGTGCTTGCAAAAACGGTGCTACTTGCATCGACGAAGGCCCCGGATTTACCTGTATATGTCCTCCAGGATATACAGGTAATTGATATAATTATTATATAATTTAATAATATTATATAATTTCATACTGTAATATTGATCAATGTATAATTAATGTAATAATGAATATAATCATTAATATATAATTAATATAATAATTCTTAACATAACAATTTATTTTGCTTTTCTGGACAGATTAATTTTTAAACAATAAAAAATAATTTTCTAATTTCCTATAATTAGGTCAAACTTGCGAGGAAGATATAATCGACTGCAAAGAAAATTCTTGTCCGCCATCGGCGACTTGTATCGATCTCACCGGCAAATTCTTCTGTCAATGTCCGTTTAATTTAACTGGCGACGATTGCAGAAAAAGTACGTCTTTCACAATTTTTTTAAAATCAGAAATATTATTAGTGTGATAATTATTTTTATTCATTTTTATTATTTTAAATTCTCGCAGCCATCCAAGTCGATTACGACTTATACTTTAGCGATCCGGGACGAAGTAGTGCTTCGCAAATTATTCCATTTTTCACTGGTTCCACAAAGAGTTTGACTGTCGCTATGTGGGTGCAATTTACGCAGAGAGATGAAGCTGGAATTTTCTTCACTCTGTATGGCGTCAGGTAAATTTATTTACATGTTTGTTTTGCTAACAATTTATTTTAATAATATAAAATCTTGTTATATTATTTTTTTCTCAAGCAAATTATAATAATGCATTTACATTTATAAAGAAAGAATTGAGAGAAAAATAATAGCATGATTTTAAAAAAAATTTTTCTTTCAATCTAATTATAATAAAACATTACTTTACAAATACAAATACTTTGTTTCAATTCGCTTGAGAGAAAATAATAGCAAGATGTTATTATGAAATAGAACATTATAAAATATATATTGTATTAATATATTATTATCGTACATTTTTTTTAGCTCGCCGCACGTTCCGACAAACCGCAGACTTATGATGCAAGCGCACAGTAATGGAGTTCAAATATCTCTCTTCCACGACTTGCAAGATGTATATCTGCCCTTCAGAGAATACGCGACCATAAATGACGGACAATGGCATCACGTCGCAGTTGTATGGAACGGGGAAAATGGCGGAGAGCTCACTCTAATCACAGAAGGCCTTATCGCTAGCAAGACCGAGGGTTACGGTAGCGGCAGATCACTTCCAGCATAGTAAGTATTTTTTCAGATAAATAAAAAAAATTTATATGCATTTTTGCCAAAAATGGTGTAAAAGAATTTGAATATCTGTCTTGATATTAATTAAATAAATGTCTTCTCTTGTGCAGCGCATGGGCCGTCTTGGGTAAACCACAGAGCGAGAACATAAAGGGTTACACGGAATCGGGCTTCCAAGGTCATCTGACCAAGGTGCAAGTCTGGGGTCGCGCTTTGCACGTGACGAATGAGATTCAGAAGCAGGTGCGCGACTGTCGCACGGAACCGGTTCTTTATCAGGGTCTGGTACTTACCTGGGCAGGATACGACGAGACCGTAGGTGGAGTCGAGAGAATTGTGCCGTCGCATTGCGGACAGAGAGTGTGTCCACCTGGTTACGGTGGCAACAGATGCCAGCAACTCGAGGCCGACAAGATTCCGCCCAAGTTGGAGCACTGTCCGGGCGATCTCTGGGTGATCGCGAGAAACGGATCGGCGATCGTCACCTGGGACGAGCCGCGTTTCAGCGACAATGTCGGCGTTGCGAGAATACAGGAGAAGAACGGACACCGATCCGGACAGACTCTGATGTGGGGCACTTTCGATATCAGTTACGTGGCTTACGATCAGGCCGGGAACTCGGCCAGCTGCAATTTCAAAGTTTACGTATTGTGTAAGTAAAAGATGTCTTCATTTAATATTTGTTCGGAAAAAATTAGAAAATATCTACTCGAAAAATATTTTCTTGAAAATCGATATGTATCAATTTTATTTGACATTTCGACAAATTTTTCTCGTTGCAGCGGATTTCTGCCCGATGCTGGAAGATCCTATCGGTGGCACGCAACAGTGCAAAGACTGGGGCTCTGGAGGTCAGTTTAAGGTCTGCGAGATTGCTTGCAACACCGGACTTCGATTTTCGCAAGAGGTTCCCAAGTTCTATACATGCGGTGCAGAAGGTTTCTGGAGACCTACTAATAATCCTAGTCTACCTCTGGTGTATCCAGCTTGTACAAGTAATTATTTTGTTCACGTTTGATTGATGACGATCTTTTATATTCTTAAATTTATTTTAATATTTATTCATTATAATCTTAAATTTTTCCCAGGCTCAACGCCAGCTCAAAGAGTCTTTAAAATTAAGATGAACTTCCCGACATCGGTGCTCTGCAACGAGGCCGGTCAGGGTGTGCTCAAGCAGAAGGTTAGAAACGCCGTGAATTCACTGAACAGAGACTGGAACTTCTGTTCGTACTCTTATGAAGGTAGCACAATTTCTTTCAAACAGATCGTTTCATATACATATTTAAAAATCTATAAAGACATATGTATATATTTTCAATATTAATTTTCTGCTTAAGGAACTCGCGAATGCAAAGATCTGAATATCGATGTGCAATGCGATCATCGCGTACGCGCAACGAGAGAAACGAACGAAGAGGATGGTGGAACTTACGTCATTTCCGCGATTGTGCCGGCAGAACCGTAAGTAAAATCTTTTACAAAAATATTTTAATTAATACTTTCGAAAATTCTGCGTTCTCAAAATTTGAATATTCGCAATGACAATTTAACTGGCAATTTTTACAGCGCGTCAATTGGTTCAAACGCATTTTTATCGTACGCAAAATAATTACAGCTTATTGATGTAATATCGTAAATCATCAAGCTCGGCTTGCTCTTTTTGTGTCTCGCACATGTCAGTCATTTCAAGTTCAATCAGACGCATCTCTCAAATGTGTTGCCTCTCTTCGTCGCGCGTTCCTCCGCTTATAGTGATCTCAGTATACTGAGCATTTTTGTGTTACATCATATAGAACGAGACAGGGTCGCCAAGGCAGTGATACCTACGAGGTGGAGATCTCGTTCCCAGCGATAAAGTAAGGACAGCTCGATTCATGCTACGTGCAATTTCATTTATATGTCTTACTGGCCATATATTCGACATCATTTCGCTAATATCATTCTATATATAAACAGCATTCATTTAGCGTGCAGTTTATAACAATCTCCCGCGGGTAATCATGTTTTAGTGTCCTATGTTAATTGTGTATAACTCTCGAATTTGTATAATCAACCTCGAAAAGTGATAAATCATACTAACGACTAATCCTACAGGAACAAGTGTCGTATAAAACTTCATTAAACGTAAATAAAAGCTCGTGTGCACGTTATTACTAACTAATCATCATTATACACGGATCATTATTATGGGAATATCATCATGTAGCAAGCTGCAACAAGTGCCTACATATTTTGACAGTGACAACTAATGTAACAAAACTCGTGTAACCAAGCTGTGAGATCGTTTATTATTTTTTATTGAAAAAAATTGATCATTCAATACACTAGCGGATATATATATATATATATATATATATATATTAAAAGAAATAATTCAAACAAATTATGAAATAACAGGCAAAAATTGCAGCTAATTAAAACATTGAAAATTGATGCGTGAAAATTAATACCTTTAGATCTCTGTAGCTCCAACATCCAGCAGCTTCGGTTTACGATAATGACAGCTCCGACATATATTGACAATTTGTCATACTGTGACTTGACAATTAAATGAATACAAAATTTACATGTATTAATTACAATTATAATAAGGGTATGAGTGCGGTTTAACTAGCGCAAGACCATTGACGAAGATCCTGGGTTCAAAGACAAGGCTGCCTTAATTACATTCGCCTCGAGATAACGGCTGTACATATTTGCGCAAACCTCTTCATGCCTGTTGCTACCGCATACAAAATGTATGAACCTACAATTAGATAACTCTCTCATCTGTATTTCATAGTGATCCGATCCTGAACGCTAATTCGAACGAGCGCTCGACCGTGCAGACGTTGCTCGAAAAACTGATCTTAGAAGAAGACCAATTCGACGTTCACGATATTCTGCCCAACACCGTGCCGGATCCTGCGTCTCTTATCCTGGAATCCGATTATGCCTGCCCGATAGGACAAGTTGTCATGGCACCGGATTGCGGTAAGTCGATACGTTAATTATAATTAAAAAATAGGAAACCATTTTTTCAATGTAAAATTCTCTGATATAAAAATATTTCTTTGCAAATAAATTTTACAGGAAATTTAAATTGTATAATTATTTTTATTCAGAAAACATACGATTGAGGTTCTCAAGAAATTTAATATTCATTCGATTAATTAATATACTAAGAACTCAATTTTATTATAATGTATAAAATAACTTTTCACAATATATATTTTAATAACCAATTATATACATAATATACATAGAATAATAATTTTAATGCATATTTTAGTAACCGAATATTGAGAAAGGATTTCATAGCATTAATGATTTTTCCAAAATATGAAAGTGCGAAAAGTTGAAAGTATATATTGCATATATCGTTTACAGTACCATGCTCGGTGGGCACTTACTATGACGAAGAGACGATGCAGTGCGTGTCCTGTCCCATGAGCACTTACCAGAGCGAGTCCGGACAGTTGCGGTGCAACTCCTGCCCGGTAATCGCCGGTCGTCCCAGCGTGACGGTGGGTCCTGGCGCTCGTAGCGCGGCCGATTGCAAGGAGCGATGTCCTGCCGGCAAGTACTACGACGACATGGCCGGTCTCTGTCGCAACTGCGGCCACGGATTTTACCAGCCGAACGAGGGTAGCTTCTCGTGTCTGCTATGCGGCCTAGGAAAGACCACCAGGACCGCCGAAGCCGTGTCTCGCGAGGAATGCAGAGACGAGTGCGGATCCGGACAGCAGTTGGCCCTCGAAGGAAAGTGCGAGCCTTGTCCTCGAGGAACGTATCGCACCCAGGGAGTGCAAGCCTCCTGTCTATCTTGTCCTCTCGGCAGAACGACCCCGAACATGGGATCCGCCGCGATAGAGGAATGCTCGCTTCCGGTCTGCGAGCCCGGAACTTACCTGAACGGAAGCCTCAACGACTGCGTCGAGTGCAAGAAGGGAACGTATCAATCCGAACCGCAACAGACCTTCTGCATCCCTTGTCCGCCGAACACCAGCACCAAAGGATCCGCTGCTGTGAGTTCCTCTTCCTCTATAATTAATAATAATATTAATCAATAATATTAGAATCACGTAAATAAATAATTAATAATATATTAATATAATTCTAGAAAAATATGATATAATATATATAATATAATATATGATATAATATACAATATATGATATATAATATAATATATATATAAATAAATGGAAAAATGTATTTAAAAATAAATAAAAATATAATATCAATGAGCAAGAAGTTGAAATAATAGTACTAATATTTCTAATTGATTGACAGACGAGCAAGGCAGAGTGCACGAACCCGTGCGAGACGAGCGGCGCAGAGATGCACTGCGATGCGAACGCATATTGTCTACTTATACCGGAAACGAGCGACTTCAAATGCGAGTGCAAGCCCGGATACAACGGCACCGGGACTGTCTGCACAGACGTGTGTCTTGGCTACTGCGACAACGAGGGTGTCTGCCTGAAGGACTCGCGCGGACAACCCTCGTGCAGATGCAGCGGCAGCTTCACCGGCAAACATTGCACGGAGAAGTCCGAGTTCTTCTACATCACCGGCGGAATAGCCGGAGGCGTTATCTTGATAATCATCGTGGTGCTGCTCGTCTGGATGATTTGCGTCAGGTTAGCGTCGCGGACAGAAATTGATTGGAAATTAATTCAAGTGTCGATGCAAATTTCATTCAATGATAAATTTATATTTTTTTTTATCGATAAGCAATATTTTTCATCAACAGAGCATCCAGAAAGAAGGAACCGAAGAAGATGCTCACTCCAGCGACTGATCAGAACGGCTCTCAAGTGAACTTCTATTATGGTGCACCGACACCTTACGCAGAGTCGATAGCGCCGTCACATCATAGTACGTATGCTCATTATTACGACGACGAGGAGGACGGATGGGAGATGCCCAACTTCTACAACGAGACTTATATGAAAGGTGAGCTACGTCGGAAATATATAAAAAATTATAATAAATTATTTTCGCTATAAAATATAGACAATTTGTTTTATATTGCAATGTGACCTGCGAGTGCTCATTAATTCTTTTTTCCTGCACAGAGAGCCTGCACAACGGGGGCAAGATGAACAGTCTTGCCCGATCGAACGCCAGTATTTACGGCACGAAAGACGATCTTTACGACAGACTGAAGCGTCATGCATATACCGGTAAAAAAGGTACAGACCCGCAACTACCTTCGTAAATCATATTAATCAACGCCACAACTCGTCGCACGTTTGCCGTCCGAAAATTACTGCCAACAGGATCGGATGCACAGCGCGGCTGCGATATTATTATTTATTAATTATTCGATTTAAAAACAAAATTCGACGTATGTGCACACCTCGTCTTTTTTACCATATATATATATATATCATAGAACACGTAACAAATTTCCGCTATTAATTTGATTAATACGTAACGACGTAACTATGTAGTGGAGCGACAGCACGCTATCAAACGAGCGTCGCAGAAAATAACATTACGAAATATCCATTTTGCAGATAAGAGCGACAGCGACAGCGAAGGCCAGTGACCGGGTAGAACAATGACTTTCATGCCAACGTAGAGTACGAAAATGCGAGAGATCTCGATCAGTAATCAGACGAAGCGACGACGGTATCTCATCCTTCGTTGCTCCAACCCGATCGACGGATCGTGTTATTTATTGCATATCCTTCTATATGACGGCGCCGAGATCCGCGGTCGTCCAGATCGGGCAATTGGATATTTCAGAAGGGAGAAAAAAGAAAGAGAGGGCTCGATCGGAGCCGCGGAATCTCGCGTCGATCCGCAAGAGACCGATGCAAGAGTCCTGGAACGATGATCGGCAGATCATGTTGTACACCGATCGTCGCTTCGGCACGCGTTTATTCGAGCCGGAAATCCGAAGGCGCGCAACGTAAAAAAAAAAAAAAAATAATGGGAAAAAAAGAATAGAAACGGAACCCGTTCGTCCTTCGTGATGATGTGAAATTCGATGCGTGTTCAATGATTAAAGAGACTTACGCGCGAGGTTGTAATTTTTGTAATTTAATTACCGCGTATATAGACATGTGTATTAAGGATCCATCTCCCGACTACCATCACACCATCATCCACCCATTCCCATTCCCCTTTCTTATTAATTCGTACGATTAACGGTGCGTACGTGAGAGAAACTGTGTGTGCTTGTATATGTTAATTATAACTATATATATATACGTGAATTTATATTTTGTTACTCGGAAGATATACGCATCATCGTTGTAATATTGTATAATAAATGCGCGGGCGCGCGCGATAGAAAGAAGGAGAAAATTTGGCGAGATTTCGAACTTGTAGCATTTCAGCGAGTGTGTCGAAGAAAATCAGAAGAAGAGAAATCTCGCGAAAATCTCCCCGCGGCGTGAGAAGACCGATTCGATTCGCGATGAGCCACAAAAAATCTGGGGAACAGCGTACTTTCTCACGATAATATCTCTTTGTAAAAAAAAGAAAATAATAATAAAACGTGAGAACCGCCGGAAGTGACGAGCGTTGAACTTTGCACGTTTGCGAACGATGCTTACCACGCTGTTTTTTTTTTTCATTTATGTTGTAAAAACTTTAACAATAGTTGTTTTTTTTATTAATAAAACGTATTTCAATAAAATGTTCTCTATTTTATTCGTGCTATGAATTATATAAGTTCCTTTAAAAAACACCTCTCTCCACTGCTTAACTTTTACTCATAATGTATTGTATTTATGCAGGTTTTTTATTTACTTTTATCGGTATTACTCTGTGCATTCTCTGACGAAATTCAAGATTAGTCTTGGCTTTATCAATATTTAATTGAGTCATGTCCTGTGACGCATTTTTACTTGTCGCCCTCATCAGATCGATACGACTATCCGCGTTATTGCTTACGAAATCAACGTCACTTCCTCCGCATTTATTGTCAAATTCAATTGGACTGTCAGTGGAACTCGACCTTTCGCATTCCTCTATTTCTATTATAATAAAAATAAAAAAAAAATAGAATAGCAGTAGAATAACGTAGGACGACGGAATATAAAATAAGAAAACGTACCGCGTTGATTTTTCTGCTCCAGAATATTGAGCGCCCTGATAACGTCAACATCGTTCCGATTGCGTCCCAACACTATCAGTAAAATTAAATTTTAATGCGAATGATATGTCTCTGTTTACTGATTTTATTTTAACGGACATTTATATGCAGATGAGAAATTAAAATTAATTGAGCCTTACGTCGATTTCCACAATCGCGGGCTTTTTCATAATCTCCTGTCATTAAAGCGATTGTAAACTAAAATATGCGAAGCTTCATTAATATTTAGCAGAGATATAATTTTTAAATTTCTGTGGTAAATGTGGTTGATATATAAATACTTCGATGCGATCCTCGTAATTCGTGCTCTGTTCTTGATTCATCGTAATTATTACGTTTAAAAGTGCTTTTTACTTTTGCACTTCACTGATAACAATTTTTAGTCAGAGATAAGAATTCACAGAATCGCATTTATCGTGTGTCTGCAAACAGATTATAAAGCAAAATATGATACTTTATAATTGCAAAACGAGATTTACAATCTTACTTGTTTGTTACAAAATCCTTGATTATGAAAAGTTTAATGAAGCAAATTTTTTCACACTAAATACAATTTAAATTTAAAACATACCTGATAAATCAGAGAAACAATTGGCATAAGATATGTGTCACGTATGTACATATATTTGTTAATAACTTCAAATTTCATAATTTTATCAGAAAAAAAATGTTAATAACTTTTATAACTTTAAAAAATTTTTTAATTATATATGTTAATATGTAATTTTTAATTAAGATTAAATGTTATAGAAATAATATAGAAATAAAATCTAGCAAAAATACATTGGACTATTACAGAATTTTATGTCATGTAGAAAATCCCGTTTCGGAGATCGAGTCTGTGTTTGCGAGATGTGTATGTTTATGATAAATATATATATACATATATAAGTAAAAAAGACATCATTGGTATGCGATGAGTCACTGCAGAGACCCTTCAATTTATTCGCTTTCCTTATATACTGAATGGAAAAAGCAGACTTCGGAGTCGTGCATCAGAATCTCAATATAAATCACATATACATATATCGTTTTTTCAATAAATTTTATTAATATTTATTAACTTGTTTTATAAATTTGTTTTTTATAAATCCATACAAGATTTATATTTATAATTCGCAATTGACATTATATAAAAATACTCAAATTTACGATAATTATCTATTTCCTTGAAATGATTGCGAAATTGTGTTTTCCAATTTTGCAATCATCTCGAACAAAATGTTACATAAAAATTATAGATCAAATCCACAGTTGTACTAGCAACTCCATCTACAGTCACCATTTAGTCACTCGTGTTCATTGTAATTTCGTTGCAACCGAGGCACGATAATATCGAACGATGTATTATTAAAGTAGCAACTTTGCAAGTATATTGCATATACGTATATGCACTTTATAAGCGATATTTAATTATCTGGCAGCGACTCATCGTCGCAATATTTTGCATTTCCCCTTTTAGTATTTTTTAATAAATACATATATTACATTATAATATAAAAAAAAATTTCTTTCTCTTTTTCTCTATTTTTAATGAGTTTGGAAATAAATCAAAATTAATGAAAAAAATTATTTATGCCAATAAAAATTTATTTTCACTAAGATCGATCTACTCCTCTCCTCCTTTGTTACGAAGCAATTGAATGCCACATGTGGTTGCCAAACTTTCTCCGAAAGTTCTCGAAATAGTGACCAGTTCCAAATTAGATTCCAATCCTACTCGTTCGTGCTTACAATGTATTTGCTACGTAATTATTCTGTCTATGACTCACGCCATTGTATCGATATATATTGTTTGTTGTAAACAACAAGGTAATACATAACAAAATAAATTGTTTCCCGGCCCAGACACGTGATTTCGATAAATTCAAGTAATTGTAAAATTACTGACTCGCTCCAATAAATAATCGATAAAACGCGGCATGAAAAAACGCTCGGAGTAACAGGCGGCCGCTGGCGAGAAACCACGCAAAGGAACAATAAATTATCGACTCCCAAAGAGATTATCGTCTCGAATTCCGCACATGACGTGTTCCGGTCGGCGCGTCGCGGCGGCGCCGCAAATCCCTCCGATTCGCACGCGGTGAGCTCACGGCTGCTCCGATTCGTCGCAGATGACGTTCGCTACGTCAGTCTAGTCTCCCAACGCTGTTCCGTGACGTGGTTTAACCCGGTACTATCGCCTCTCGAGCCGCATTTCAACGGCGACTATCGAAGCGACCACATCACACGAAAGAGTTTGACACTTCGGCTTTGGCGCACGTCGACCTGATTTTGACACATCATCCAGGAGACGTAGGAGCGAGAAGAGAACCAATTAGCACAGTGCGAGCAAACGACGGAATCGATCGCTCTTGGTCACCTTTCTCGCTAGCCTTTCTCAGCCCCCAAGTGGAAGGTACACCGGCGCCGATCGTTTCAGGGAGGGTAAGTATAAGTTGTTGTTTGCGGAATTATCATTTCTCGATATATAGACAAGCCAGGCGGTATTCGCGGGTGTTATGTAATTACCTGGCCGAGAAGGTGAAATTAGTGCTATGCAAAACGCGACATCGCGACGTGAATGAGAAGCGCGCCGACTGTTGAAAAGTGCTGCGTAGTCGCGAAGGATCGATTGGGCGCATGTTGACGTCGTCGTCGTCGTCGGCGGCGCGACTATATATTTTCGTATCGTCGCACGGACGTACGATTTCTTCCAGAGTGTTCCCGATAAACATGTTTTTTTTTTCTTTTTTTTTTTGTTTTTTTTTTTAGATCGGATCTCACAAATTTCGGAGTCGCGCCGCGGAATGATGCAATTCGCGCTCGATCCCGCGAAAATCGGAGTCACATGCGTTCGGACGCCGCGGTGCTGTGTTACGTAACCAGTCGGCCTAGCTGATGACACCGTTGCTTTTCCCGCAGTGCGCCTTAATAGCGATATACGCCTCGGGAAAACAACGCGCATGAGTTGAAGTTTTGGGCGAGAAATACATATATTTACATCGCGAGGGGAGAAATAATTTTTCCTTCTTTTTATATCAAACGCGCCGACGAGATAAGGCGCGAGATTATGTCTTCTTAATTGTCTCAAAATGATAAACAAATTTTTTTTGACGAACTCTTAAAACGATAACGTGTGTCGGAACCAACAGGCCATTTGCTTTCCTCGATGGCTAAACTAACATGTATATAATCGCGAAAGAGTGGAGATGTATATACAGATAAGATAAATTAGATATATAGGAAGTGTCGTGTGACGTAAGATTTTGGAGCAGCTTGCAGATGACTAAGCAGAATCGCGAATCGAGAGGCTTATTTATCATAAGTCAAGGACTCCGTACCAATTTCTGCCGAACGACAACTGACCTCAAATTGATCAAACAATTTGTTATCTGATAAAAAGATTGCAGGATTCCACTTTATATATGTGATATAGATATGATCATTTTCTTGTGATAGGATCAACTTTTCGGAATGCTCCGATATATACATATGTACTATATAGTACGATGTTATCATGATAATATACTATTTTGCTTATTTGTGTTTATTAATGCAACGAAATATAAATTATTTATCAGATTTAATATTTTGAACGTAATGGCTTTCCATTGTTTCTCTTAGAATTGTTATCAACATGATGAAAAGCGCGCCCACGCTCCAATATTCACACAAAATATCCGCAAAATATTAGTGTAACAAGGCCCGAGGTCGTAAATATTACATTTAATAAATTTTAGTAACATTAAATAAATTTGATAATGCAACATATCAGACACGATTAAACTGGCAATTGGATGATCGCACTAAATCAGATCTATATTTATTTCAGGCTTCCAAAATCCCTCCCATCTACGAACGTCCAACAACCAGCAACATTTCAGTTGAGGAAGGAGGTGTTCTTAACGTAAGTACTGTTCGCGGAGAACTCCGAGAAAGGATCCGGAACTCTGCGGATGATCGGAACATTCACGACGAAATGGCAACCTTTCAGGTATCAAAATCATGCAATCGTCAGCCGCAGCAGTTATCTGTTACTCGTGGCGTGAGATCGCGGCCACTGGGCGATGCCACCTCGACGAAGGTGGGGACAATACCTCTCCTAAGTCCGACAATGGAAACCGAATTTTTGAAAGAGCCCTGGGTGTTTCCGCGCACAAAGACAAATTCTTCTACAAGAGAAGAGGTCACCGCGGCACTCTCCGCCTGGGAGGAGGACTTTCAGGATCTGAGCAGTTGGTGCATGGACACGTTCCAGGGTCAATGCGATTTTCATATAGGTGAATCGACTACGTTTAAAGTATCAGGTACATATACATTTATATATATTTATGAATAATGCATACAACGCATAATATTTAAAACAAATGTGTCAGGCTCCATAATATTCAATGAAAATGTATTATAAAGTTGAGGCAACGAGAGAGTCGAGATGTTAGTTGGAAATTTGAATAAACTTCTAGATTTTGATGAACTCTTTCATTTTAGACGTTCCGATCTTTGTTTGGGACCATCTTTAGTAAACTATAGCAATTACATTATTATTGAAATACTCAAACTCCTTCCAAAGGAGAAATCTAGAAGTTTAGTCAGACGCCGATCGAATATAATATTACAAGATATCGAAAATCGTATCATATTTAAGATTGAGCAGAATAAAAAAATTATTTGCTACTAAAAAGATTTATGAAGAGAGGAAACCATTGGTGAAAAAGATGAAAAAAAAAATTATAGAATTTTTATATACAATAGATTTTTTAACAAAATTCAATTAGTTTAATTTCATGTTTGTTCGACCTCAAAAAGACCAAATACTAATATATTCCTAATTAATAAATTTTTATTATCCTTGTTTAATATCTTTATTTAAAATAACAATAAACTATCCAACTGTCATACGTAGACCTTTCATAGATATTATTTATTTTCATTCATATACGTATACATATCCAGTTTGGTCGTATATAAATGAAAATAAATAATTTTTATCATCACTGGCGATTCAAACTTTTTTGCTTTCATAGATATATATTAATTGTTTTTATTTTATTAATTGCGATAAGAAATCGCAATTAATATTATAGTTCGACTGTGTTTCCAGGTACGAAATACGAGGATAACGGCGTTTCGATTGTGGAAGAGAAGGGAATATTAAAAGATTTGAAGAGTACGACTGATGATGAAAAGCTGAATTTGAAAATGATAACCGCTAAGACTACCGAAGAATCAAATGACAATCGTCATTTGCTGCTATCTCCATCGGGATTGGTTAACGATTACGAATTAGGATATAAAAACGAAGAGAAGAACGCAACCAGCTCCTGGTTAATGTCACCCGAAGCGTCTGTAGCTTCTACAAGTACCGCGTCGAGTAAGCAACATAACGTTGATGCTGACACGTTGTTACAATCCGAGTATCGCGCGAGCAGCTTGACTTCATCTTTCGAGACCACCACAATCACAAATCAGCGTGAAACATGGGATGAGCTACGTACGATCGAGACCACCGGATCGGACACTTTCGACCTGCTGTCGTATCTCTGTGACGTAAGTTGACGAGCTCATTCGATTAACACACTTTTTTAATTCAATTTTCCTTGCGATCAATTTTCGAGTTAATAATTAACGAAATAAATAATTAAAATAAAATAAAATAATTTAAAAAAAAAGAATTAAATAATTAAAATAAATAATGAACGAAATAATTTTTTTGCAGGATGCACTGCTTTCCCAGGAAGGCGGCACTTCTACCGAATCTTCAGCCGTGCTGAAACTCAAATCGGAGGCGACGGTGTTGCCATCCTTATTCACGCTTAGCCCCGCGAAGGTGAAGACGGAGGAAGAGGTCATCGAACCGATGCCATCGACGCGTCGAAGGATGTCGACACGTGCAACGTCGACGGTGACCTCATCATCGGTGGAACCTCCCGTAGTGTCGTCTCGCAGATCGGAGAGAACGAGGACATCGAGTAGCAAAGCCGCTGAGAGCAGAGAACGAGAGACGATTGTCAGAATAAGGACGAGGGATAAAATGGAAGGAAGAGATACTACGAAGAGAGCGATTCCGATGACGACATCGGCCTGTCGCAGTACAGAGAATGTCGGGAGAAGAACAACGAGGCGTCGCGAAAATCGCGGATGAACAAGAAGGTGAAGGAATCGGAAATGACGATTAGGGCGATCAAGCTTGAGAGGGATAACAAGGTGTTGAAGATGAAGGTCGAGGAGCTGGAGAAACTGGTGACGTCGATGCGCAACGCGTTATTAAGATCTGCTTTAAAGGGAGTGTTTTAAGAGTACACGCGTTATTTAATATCTAGACGTACACGAGCTGTCGCGCGCGCATAATGCATTAATAATCTGTGCACACTTTTCGTTCTTTTTTTTTTTTATACAGACGCCATCTCATTACGTAATATCTAATGGAATTATGTAAATTTTAACATTGACTTATTTGTCTCAATTATCTTGAGACTTATTGTTACTCGTTATTTTGACGTTGTTTTATCGAGAGACGTTCTTTCATATCTCTATATAGCGTCTCCCTATACACTGTAAAAAAATGTGTAAAATTACATTAATAATATGTAAAATTACATATATAATAAATGTAAAATTACATGATAAATAATGAAAAGGTAAAAATTTCTATTATTTATCGTGTAATTTTACACTTATTATTTATGTAATTTTACATATTTTTGTGTAATATATTACATATTTTTTTACAGTGTAAAATCTATATCTATATCTTGGTATATAATTAATTTGTCTAAATTAATCACGGATAGCGATAAATTAATCGTATTATCTGTAACACGCGTTAAAAAGTTAACGTTTAGCTTGCTATATGTCAGTACACGGAGATACTATATATTATTAGCAAGAATTTATTTTGCTATAACGAGAGAGAAAGAGAAACACCGAACTTAGAATGTATATTACGAAATACACATACAAACACACACATATATATGTATGTATAAGTTACTTTGTGTATCATAATTCAAAAGGGGTATTATTACACGAGTGAAAAATATGGCATACGGTTTCAAGTGATAACCAAGTGATTATCGAGAAGCAGGTTTTAATTGGAACAAAATCACATAGTCATATATTTTGTTCAGCCTTGTATTGTACCTGATATGAAGAAAAAAAAGAAAAAAGAAGCATGCATAAATATATATACTTATATACATATATGTAGAATTTTATCGCGGAGAGAGAAGCATGTATAATTGGTGACACGTGGTTTTTTCTACTACTGATGTGTGAATTTGGACGATATTGATGTAAGAACACACAAAATCGAATAAAAATTTTATTTTGAAAAATCAACCAGGTCTATTATACAAACCAGATTCTTTGCGAGCCACAAATAACGCAGCTTATATAAAAATAGCGACAGCGTCATACCCTCATGACTCAATGTTTCTTCCATATCCGCGGCTGTTCTGTCTATAAACGAGCACGAATATGCGTCTAAATGCCAATCCGGCATTAAAGCCATACATAACACACGCGACATATTTCCGTAGATTGTTCGGATATTATTAGAGCATAAATGATCATCGCGGGAACACGTACGTATACATATATTACATATACAAATGCGGTATGTTTGCGAGATAATTGCAAAATCGATGGAGAGACGCTATCAATGTAGGTGAGTCGAGGTGGCAAACAGAGAGACCCGATTAAATTGTCGCAACAATGTGCGCTGCAATTTTATATTCAGCACGCAGAGGGATCCAACAAGAGGGCGACAGCTGATCTCTGTCATTGCGGCTGCGACGCAGAACCGCATCTGGAAATATCGTCAGAGAGCGTCGTCCTAACGAGGGCGATGGTGGACAAAGGAGAGGTAAGACCTCTTTCCGTTGATTGAACATCCGGCGTCCAAGTATCGCGCTTGTATTCTTTGTCTGATGTCATTTTATTTGCAAATTGCGTTAATATATATATATATATATATATGTATATAATTAATAACGAATCGGAGCAAATTTGCACCTAAGAGAGAACCATCTGACACTTTATAAATATTATTTATTATTTTTATTTGTTGTTCTAGATTCAATTTATGATTGTGCACATTGTAATTTTGATGAATTGTTTATAATAAATATTTAACATGGTTACATTAAATAATAGACTTGCAACTATGTAGCATGCTTTGGCACATGTCCAGTGCCAAATGCGCAATAGAAATCTATATCGAAAACGTCAACAAAGTTGCAACAATGATTATAGTTTGCGTATTGTATATTTCTTCTGTTTAATATAACAAACCTTTTCCTTGAATTGATTTTTGAATTATATACGAGTGAAAACAAAGAGCTTTCGTGAAAAATTAACTTCCCGTTAATATATAATAATTTAATTTAAATTTTATTTTGTAGGACAATTTAAATTGAAAATACTTAATATCGAAACGTCAAAATTTACGAGAAAAAATAGCGTTAATATCAAATATTTGATATAAGAAAAAAATCGAATGAGAAAAGGAAATGCATTTTCAAGCTGGTATATTCTATCTCGCACATAATGAAAAAGGAACAAAGTTTAGAAAGTGTAACTAAACGAACAGATTGTAAGGAATTATTTGAGCGTTTTCATCGGTCGTAATCAAGTATCCTGTGTAGCCGGGTCGCCTCAGAATTAAATGCATATTCCGATGCATTCAGCCGCGGGCATATGTATATGTGTGTGTATAAATGCATCGATTGCCCGCATTGCTTTCTTCACCCGCATACCGTTAGATCCATTAATTCCAGACTATTATTATCGCGCTACCGTCTATTCCCGACTTCACTTTATACGAATCGGAGCGGCAAATAAATCGCTCTTTCATACCGAACCGCTTCAAAGAGATCAAATATCCTCCGCGTTTCGAAAGAAGGATCAGCAATCAACGAAAACATTATTTACCAAACGAAAGTGACATATAGACACAATTCTCTCTCTCTCTCCCTCTTCTCTCATATATTTCCCACGCATTATATAGTATACCCACCTTATCGTTCTCCCGGGGAACAATCTGCCGACCTCGTTCGTCCACTTCCCGTTTCCTGTCAGATATATAAAACACATAGATCGACCGAAACTCGTTTCGAGGCGCGATATTTCGCGGGCGCCGGCTTTTAAAAGTCCGCATACGTCAGAGCTGATAAGCGCTGCGCGCGCAACGTCCGCGGCCGTTCACTGTCAGCTGATAACTGACTACACTAGTAACAGGTGGTTCATCGCGATTGGCCGAGCGGCGACGGCGGCGGCGATTAAAGTGCCGCGACGGCGCCGGCACGTGCGGCCCCGCCGCTCCGGTCCCGCATTCACGCGGCGGACGTCGTAGCGCGCGCATCGAGCAAGCAACCCTCCGTTGCGAAACGCAGTCGGAACTCACCATCGTATCGGGGTGGTATTCGAAAATCGATACACACTCGTGCGTGCGTGAGTGCGTGCGAGAAGATTACGGACTATCGATCTCCTGTTCCGCTTTCTCGCGCCTTCATTGGCCTACACGCCCACGTCCTCCTCGTCGCCGATTGCTGATTCGGGTATAGTGTACTGTGCCTTAAATCATTATAATAACGAGAGATAGTTTGAAGAGCCTGCGAGTGATTCTGGAGCGCGCGAGGTCAACGAGAGATTTCCCTCTCCTTCCTCACGGTGAGTAACATATCAATGATTGCGCCACAGTAGATAATCTTTCATCCTCCTCGTTCCTCTTTGTTTTTCATTTCCATTGCATTTTTTTTTTCGTCCTTGGTATTGCGTTGGTACCGCACTGCCATGCACGTGCGCACACCGGCGCGGCGCCGCGATCCGTTCGTTCCATCTGGTGCACGACTTATTGCACCGACCGGATCTTCTCATCCCGCGTCAAGGGTCATCTCGCGCGCCGTCGAGCGTGCAGCTACTCCGAGATAACCGAGCCCGATGAGCTCCCGAGAGAGATTTTCATACGCGATCGAGACAAGAGTGATGTAGCCCGGATGGAATGTGGAACTTTGCCTCGATTGATGATGAAGAGCTCTCTCTTTCTCTCTAGAGATAGCTCGAAGGGAGACTTGATTCTATGTTCGATAGGAAAGAAATCATATATATTGAACGAATATGACAATATAATTCGATGAATTTAATACTCTTGATATTTTTAATATGAAATTATTGCGATTCTGTCATATCATTGTCGTATCTTGTGATTTCGGAGTAAAACGGAGTTTATTTTTATCGTGTTACTAATACTCCGTCGCGATAAAGCTTTCTAATGAATGATGTTAATATTTATAAGTTTGACGTTGATTTTACATTGCTCGAGACAAGGACTTTTATCAATATATACGATTGATACAGACGCGTGAATCGTTCTTTGGAATTCGTGTATATATATATACCTTTCTTTCTTTCTTTCTCTCTCTTGAAATGAAAGCTCTTCGATCGATATCGAGTGCGATTACATGGAATTATTTGCGCGTTATTGATGAAAGGTCGAATCGCGCGAGACGATTATGTAGAAATAACATTTGCGGGAATTATAGTTTATTCGGAAAAATAAAGATCATGCGAAAATCCCAAGGATTGAAAATATGAAGCCGAAGAGAGAGAGCGCAAGATGTGTCGAAGATAGATAATTTATCAGCGTGTTTCTTCCGGCGATAATTTATTAATAAAAGTAATGGAACTGATACGTGCGGAAATGAATACTTTTTTTCAACTTCGATAACGATATCGCGATATGATACGCGATACACACAAGGTAACGCAAATATTAAGTAACAAATTATGTTATCATTACTTGTACAAATACTTAATATACGATGCAGAAGCGGATTTGCCATCGTTTTTGAATTATGCACGTGCTAGAAGAGAGAGTAGAATAACTGTATTTTGACAGACTTTAATATGATTAGCATATATTAACGTCTAACTGTTTCATCTGAAATAACATACAATATATGGGAATACTTAAACCAGATAAGATAAAATTAAATTAAAATTTTGGTCTCAATTGGAAAAACATTGCAATTAAGAGTTAAAAAAATACAAGATTGCGAGAAGGTTCGCCGAATTTAACATTTACTTTTTGCTCAAGTCAAGTTGGTCTCCAATTTTCGATCTTTTATTTATCTCACCTGGTCTAATTCTAATCATAAATATTGATCATAAAACTTGGTTAGTAAATCTTCGACCTAACAGTCTTGTTAAATAATGAATACCCGATAATATTTCGCTTTCTCTTTTCTTAGAATAAGCGTCTAAGATAATTAATCGATAATAAATACATTTAAAATTAATCCGCTCTAACACGTGTGTGCGTGTGTGTTAAAAATTACGCTATTTAATCATATAGAAATTTAATATTCTCTTATGATTGTTTCTTGCGATTGCATTCCGACATAATCAAATACACGGATAAGTTTAATCCCTCTAATATCAGGGATACTGTATCCTATAACGTCAGATTTCAACGCAAGCTTTGCTCGTGAAAAAGAAAAATACTTAATTCCTTATGCATGAATCTTTTTACGAGGAAACATTATCTTGCGCGTACAAAGCTCTACCTGCGGTTAAAAGAGAGACCAGGTTTCAGATTAGAGAAGGGTATTTGTACGCCGCATATGGCACACTACGTAATTTCCTTTTCCGACAAATAAAGTTGATTGAAATTCTCGGCATACTTTAATAAGTCTTCTCGATCGTGATTTTCGAATGTTCATGCTTGTTACACATATAAGAAATCATTCAATTGAACTCTTCACGCGTCCATATTTCAAGGTAATTTTCAATTGATATTCTTCATTCATCTAAAAATGTTTAGCATCGCTTAAGACAAACAAGTATATACCTATAAAAATAAAAAAGAATGATGTAACAGTGTGTTATTAAATTTTAAAGAATCATAAAATGCAATTAGAAATGATAATTCAACAGATAATTTTTCAAGCGTTCTTCCGCTATTTCTTTCGCTCAATTTTATACACTTTATTGCATTATTATACGTGATAATCGGGAGCATCTTCTCTCTCGCGAATGTATGGTATACTTAGCTCATAAAGATAGGTCCATTGAACTCGTTAGAACGCGCCGCGACCTGCAATGCAGTTATGCATCATCCCGTAATATAGGACAAAAGGCATTAAACGCGAAAACGGCCGCAGCAGATAATAAGCCGCGCGCACGATACCACATGCGATGCTGAGGTCATGGATGCATATGTCATATCCATGTGTATTAATATAATCTATAAGTCGCGCATTTCTTTATCGATATTCTTTTTACGGATCAGCATCCGGCATCCGGCTGACATCTTTCAGTAACACTTACATAAACCTCTTTCACTTGTCTTATCAAGCGAAACTGTATATATATACATATATATATAATTTTTGTTTTATCCTCTCGTGGATTTCTCTCTTTATCTTTCTACTTTATTTATATATGTTCGAAAATGAATACTATTTTTAATTTATTCTCTCGCTCTTCTCCAGTCTAATTTTAATCAGGTTACGAATGCGGCGCATATTATTTATTTCCTCCTATTCTTTCAAATAGCGAGAGAGCCTACTTTGATCTTTAGAGACCCACGAGAGATTCTCGCGGATCTCGAGATCTCGTTTAATGCAATTAAACGGCGCACCGCATAATTGCAGATCTCACGTTACGTCGCTTTAACGAATGAAAAGAGATAATTAATGATATCCGCAGAGACATCACATTCACGAGATTGTGGGATAATCTTTTGCTTTCAGATACTGACCTTCCAAAGTTCAAGATTATCAGAGAATGCTGATTTTTCGTGGCGACAGCATGTCGGCCCTATAATTTTCCTTCCTACTACTTCATGGACGGATATCATGTTGTTGTAACCGGCGACGCTTATACTACCCGGAAAGCTCAAGGAAACGAAATATCATGGCATTCTTCGACGTGGGATCGGGCGACCTCAAGGAATTGTGGGAGTCGTATCTCTCCGATCCGGTGAGTTTTGCTCATATACACAAACAAACTCTGATACTTCTGATAAGAAGAAATTGCAATGAAATTTTAGCTGAAAAGTTCGCGGAGTTTATTGTCGGGAATCCTGCAAGGAATATAATACGCGCAGTTCCTTCAAATTTTCTATTTTGTTAGCGTCTTCGTTTCCTATACTAGCGTGTATATTATTCTCGAGAAAGTACTTCTCTCTCGTCCGCGAAGATCGCGAACGAAAGGAAGCTGGAATCTGTCAGAATCGCGTATAAGGACGCCTACGTTCCTTTTGAGGGACGCGATCCTCCGCGATTATTTCAAATATTTGTGTCAGATCTAGAGAGAGAGATAGTCTTCGACGTCTGCGGACTGCAATGTGCAGCTATATTATACTGATGAGTACCGTTATTTGTAATGCTATCCGCGGATAGCTTCGGTCAGAGATAAGGTCGAAGTTTATATAAGGGAGATTTTATTCAATTTTACTATAATGCTATTTTTCCAGACATTTTATAAGCTTCTTTTATGCGCAACGCGTGAGGGACACTCGCATGCATACATTATATTTATCAAATTTATTGGTCAAATGTCATTGAAAAATATATTTTTACTTCTTACACGTTCCTCGTAGATAACGATTACGATTCTTGACACTGATATGCTATTTATTTGTAAATTTATTTGCATATTTCTAGCATTCGAAGAAGTAACAAATTTAATTTTACAATTTAGTAAAATATTATTATTAAGTTTAACCGCGGAAAAATATAGAAAATTCTATGAAAAATTACTTCCAATCTAAAATTCATTTTTTACTTTTTTTTAAATCGAATTAACATCTTTCCGGTTCGGAGAAAGTCCTAGGGCTTTATGAATGTCGAATAGCCGCATATCCGCGTATGCATCTCGCATACTGTCATTTATCATCGCGTTTGTGCTAATTAAGCTCAAGGAAATGAGCGAACCGACAAATTTACATGATAGTACAACGTCGGATAGGACGTACGTCACAACGTTGTTTCGTAACATCGATAAATAATTCTTCCGCCGGTAAACGCCCCGTCTATTCATCGCGACTCTCACATCCATCTACCATCTCTTCGCGACCAAGGGGACCATTTTTCATTCGCATTCTTCATGTGTTCGCAACGATAACAATGGTTATACATATGCGCCTATCATTATCGCGACGTTGTAACTTCTTGCTTCTAACATCCTCGATCGAAGCGCAAAATGGGACAAGAGTGCGATTTCCCTTGACCCTCTCGAGGATCTTCTCAGAAATATCGACTGACGACAAATCAATCACTTTCCCATTAGATGGAATTACTCCAGGTTTTTTCTAGACAACGTTAATCACGCGTTTTACACGTCGGACATATATACATCTATACTTTTATTATTAGTTACTGCTTTCGTCTTGATCGTTGTTTCACATGTTGAAACAGAGAGCAATTTCGCAGTCTTCGGAGAAAATTTTATTATTTCCTGGAAGGCCGAGATGCGTGTGTATGTTGGATCCTCTTGGGAAGCTGCCGTCCAATCGTCGCCCGCGACAAATAAATATACGATCGTCTTCGAAGTTAATTCACCGGCTCGATTAGACTCCGTCGAGAATTTGTGCGACAACGTGGGTCGATTATTTTATTTCCGCAGATTCGCACACACACACACACACACACACACACACACACACACACGTCACATGATGTGTATCGTCGCAGTTTGGTTGTCATTCGCAAATACGATTGTATAGGATAACCGCTGCTTTGACAAAATTTCACGAGATATAAATACCGCGACAGAGCCCGGGGAGGATATACATGGTATTGTATTTGAGCGTAAAACATTAGTGTGCCACTTTACACACCTGCACAAATATCGTGTGCCTTCTCTTTGCGGGCAGAAATGGTCGATCGATGGTTTGCCCGCATATTGAACCGTTGATATGTTAAACCTCACGTGGAGAAATATATTTTCGGAGAATCGGATTTTCTTCTTCAATTTCGATTTAATGACGTATTTTTGTTTCACAGTTTTATATTTCTCAGAATTATTACAGCCAATTATTTCTTAGAAAATTTATAGAACTGTCAGATCTGCATTAATGTATTTTTGCGATAGAATAATTTTACTCAGCAGACGTGTTGCAAAAAATATAATAGTTTATAAATTATTCACACACACAGTAGAATATTAATGAAAGAGTTGAAAATAAAAATAAATTTCTTGAGCGATATATTCTAGTTTTTTGTGAACTTATGTAATATTCAGAATAATATTAAACTCTCGTTAAGATAATTGCAACTTCGTTTACTAATGACATTTTATCATCATCGCATATTTACAAGTTTCCATTTTTTATATACGATTCCCAAACTGGGCTAGCAAAAATTTTGGAACAGAAAATTTATAACCGAGTTACGCGTGTTTATTTGTTTTTTTATCTCATTAACGCATCGTTACACTCTTATTATCTGCGAAAAGGCAGCTTATGTAACTCGAGAGTTGTTTGAAAGAAGAGACACACACGCGAATCGGATTTACTAATGCGCACGTTAAGCATATGTATGCACACATTTAATATATTTTTTCATTCGAAAACGTTCAATCGGTTCTCTTCTCTTCCACATTATTAATTTGCATCTACAAAACGTCACAAAATAAAATTCAACAGAGATGTTAAAAAAGGAGGAAGGAAACCATAATTATTTATATATATCTATATATATATATTATTTATTTATACATTTATTTATAGATACACAACAGTTATTAAAGTTAAGCTTAAGAATTTTCAAGACCCGTGTCTATTATTTTGACATAATAGTAATCGAGTTATTAATATGCATCGATATGATAGTTCCCGTAACAGAAAGGCGAATCGGTGCATGTTAATGCTGTCTCATCATATTTGGGGGTCAGTCCCCTTTGGCGACAGGCACATACGTTTAACCAATAAAATCGTTTAAACTTAATGCTGATGCGTGTTCGTTGAAAAAAATCTCCCCGAGCTAAATGTAGAAATGCATTTGCGGCAAGTAGAGTAAGTAAACTGCATACGTGAGAAAAGCTTATTTCTCGAATATGCATTTAAATCGCGCTCATCGATTAAAACCTGTTTGTAATGAATGTTCCAATTATGCCAATTGTTGGCGGCGACGAATATCGATTTCCCGGCTTTAGCCAGCTTCCGTTTCGTTAAAAATAACGATTTGCCGGCATTTGCGATGAATGTGTTTTGTCATGGAATTGATCAACCACACCATTATGTTATCGAGCGAGCGATAAAGCAGCAACGCTATGCATCGAATGGATCGAGGTGGAATCGAAAAAACACCTTGCTCAGCCGAGAGAGAAACAGAAATCGAGTTGTGTGTCATTGTAAAATTTCTTGGAATTAAAAAAAAAATTTTTTTCTCCGTCGTGACCGAATGAAGAGGCGAGTCGATACTTTTGCGTGTCGCTTCTTTTTTTGCTTATTACTGAAGAAACACAGCTGCAATTAATTCACTATCAGTCTTGTTATGTTAAAACCACTTGTCCCGATAAGCATTTATTATCTTGACGACGTATGTCGTTGCATTCTCTCGTATAAGGTTCATATGTGCGTGTTTTTCTATTTTTAACTTTTTTACTTTTTCATATATCGAAAGACTTGAAGAATACTGACTCTGGGTTTTAAGAATTTATTCGCATTTTTAATCCGCTTATATAATATTTGTATTATCCCGATTATAAAATTCATACTCAACGCTAATCTGTTAATCCGTTAATCCGTTAATAATATAATTGAATAGATAAGCTTTGACGTTTAAGGGAATTTTGCAACTAGGTTTTACATATTATTATTTTTTTTTTCGTCAGAAATATAGGACAACCTTGCTGCGACGTCCGTAATTGTGTCTAGGCTCGTCGCATTTTTATCATGGACGATATAAAGCAATTTTCCTCACTCATTTGTCGTGCTTGCGCAGGTGCCACTGACGCAAGTGTGTTGATAGAAGTCTTCGCGTTACATATTGTGTGCATATGTATATATATATATATATATTCTCGAGCGTGGCATATCCAATTAAATACTCTTCCGATCGCTCGCGACTTTATTTCGAAAGAGAACTCGACATTTACGGATACAATATTAATTAACCCATCGACGATATTAATAATGAAGATGTAAAATCTTACAAGGATAAATGAATAGCTAAACATCGCGAAAGTCTATTTTTTGGAGAGCTCAGACAATCGTCACGCTCTGATAGAAAAATTTTCCTTCGAAAGAGAGCTAATGTTCCAGATAAAAGTGAAATCTTCTGAATTCTTGCTTCTTATTCATTCGATCGCGTTAATTTGCGTCTTATCTAACGATTGTTTTCTCAGCACGTCATTAATGTAAAGAATGACAAATGGCCTTCTGATAAGAAAACTTTCGTTTCAATCTGTCCGGAAGAGCAAAACACGTATTAAAAGAAATTAATTTTCCTAGTGTAACGTAAATATCGATTATCTTTGATAACATGAAAATTGTACGATAAATTGTTATCGAGTATTATGTTTCATACAGAACATAAAGTACCGCGACATAATTGTATCTTGATCCCATGATCGTTTTATCGATGCCATGCTATTATTTTCTCATGATACAATGTTTTTCATCCATTTTGAGTTATTTCAGAACTATCGCACCAGAAGTAATTAGTTTGCTCAAATAAAAGGTATAAATGATAGTTAACAGAATTTTAATAGAAAAGGAAATAAATATTTCAACCACTATTTAAGTATTTTAACGTAATAACACGCAAATTATTACGTAACCTTTCTTGAATTTGAAATAATCATTCATTTATCGGGTAAAGACGCAATGATTACGTATCTAATCTATTAGGATAAAGATCAGATAAAAATATAGCCATAATGTTACAACAGAACACCCATAATAATCACCGTAGCAATACCTCTCTGAGAAAAGTTGTGGTTGGCTGCCTTCTAATTCAAAACCGGAAGTGTAA